TGGCATCCTGTGCTGTATCAAAACCAAACCCTGACATCATATCCTCTTAGTATTTGCGGCCAATCTAATAGTAAGTACTGAACTGAAAACAAGGCAAACAATTTTCTAATTCACTTGGTTCACCTTGCGATGTCATTGTATATCTTCCTGTTGGAAAAATTCTTAGAAATATTGAAAATTAAGAAATTGCGAAAGCGAAAATTTAGGTGCCGTTTCAAGTGTTATTCTGATCGAAGACCTGCCCCATCTACACCTACACTAAGTACTATTTATGTAGGTAATATACAGAAGTCGTTTTAATTACATAGTTCCTATTTTCCTTGAATGGCTATTAAGATCCAATTAAATGATTCATTGAGTTATTTCTTGTATAATTCTGCAGTAACTTGCAAACATATTTCTTCCCATTGCCCCTGGGTAATCCCAATTGGCTATCTGAAAATATGTTTGCAAATTATTGCTGAAAGCTACAAAAAATTAATAGATCATTTAAGTGAATACTCAATAGTCATCTAAAGTAAAAAGAGCCTGGAAGAATTACTAGATAAGAGACTTTGTTTTTTTTTATTTCTTTTTCATTTTTTTGTCATTTGATCCACAATTTTGACTTTAGATTGTTTTCAGCGGAAAAAACTACATTGGAAAACATATGCCGCACACCCAATACAGACAACTTTGTGGATCTGTGTTATCTTTAATCTCTTTAGGCATTGCAAAGAAATACATAATAGAAGATATTTTATAAAAAATTTCTGCATTATTAATAAATGTGTATATACATTGCTAACACCGCCTACTAAAAAATATGATATATTAAAAAGTAACATAGCTTCAAAAAAAGTAAAAAGTCATAGTTATAGAATAAAGTAAATATAATACTTACCAATGTTTTTATATTCTATCCAGCTAGATTTACCATTTTTATTAATTACTTTACACAACAAAATCGTCGAATTTCTTGGGTATTATGACTTTCACGAGCAACCAACAGATCCAATTATATTCTTTGGTACAAAACCTAAAAGAAATATAAAATATTCTCCTATTAGAATTTAGTTTTCTAAAAGCTTTTGTGATGTAGTAAAAATGATTATTTTTACTACTGCTAGTAGAAGAGAAATTCCCAATTCCCCAATTCTAATTTTCATATCCTTTTTTTATTAGAAGGTTTTCCTTTGGTCTGTAATGCCCGAAAGGGCCTTTCTCGCTATGAAACTTTTTTTCATTTTTATTCTAAAGTAAATATAGATATCACTGCTGCTTGATGTCAGGTTGCACGCAATGCAGGATTTGACTTTAAATCAGAATGCAAGGCCATAGCTCTTATCACAAAGTCACGTTTTCCCAAGACTTGGACTACAAAACATGTTACTAACCTTGTGGCGGCGCTAGACCATTCGTGGGCGTCGGCGAAATTCGTTTGCGAGGCCCCCCTTTTTTGCTAGTTGCAAGTTGCTAGTGGTACATGGCATCGTGCCTAAAGGCAAATTGCTGAAACTTTTCGTGCCGTAATTTAAATTTTTGAAAAGCTTTGAAAAAATTTGAAAAGTGAACGAAATTGACTTTTTTTAATTTGAAATATTTTGTTGAAAATTTCGAACTTTTTTTCAAAGCAATCACGTTGCGTTAGCTGCTTAGAGACGAAATATCGAAGCGCGTAAACGCCGCGTTGCAGTCTAACTTAACTCACTATTAATTAAAATCTTTATAAAATATCTGATAATTTGATGTGCATATGCCAAATGGCGATAATTATCGCGAAAAAGTTTCCTTTTGCCCAACCATTTGATTAGCAAATTTTATGTTTTTTCGATCATTATGAATAAAAAATGGTTGGAAATCACCGACTTAATAACTAATTAGATAAAATTTTGCAATCTGCAAGTGATTAATTAGATTTAAAAAATCTATGTTCATACTAATTTGAGTGCACAAATCCGAACATCACATAGTAGGTAGACATGGTCTAAAAGCTCATTAATCTCTAATCATTTATCGTAGTTCCATAAAATTTATGTTCGAAGTTTTTTTTGAAAAAATATTTTTACAATAAATTACGAAGAAACTGTGCGGTCGATCTTGACGAAAAACAATTCAGCACGATCGCCAACTGAAAACTTTCGATCAGTTTTTGAATGTTTAAAATTGGTTCAAAAATGTCAAAATATCGTTTTTTAAGACGCTTAGATTTTTTGTCGACGACATCAGAGCGGATCAACCGATTTAAAGGATTGAAAAAAACATTCGATTCGTGTTGATAAATTGTCAAAGGCAGATTTAGCGGTTTCGGAGATACAAAAAAAGTTTAAAAGGTTATCAATTTTATTTGAAAGAACTGATCATCCCGATAGAATGTTTAAAAATATATATTGCTTGTGTTGACGGTGTGAAACAATGATTAGTTTCAAATTAACAGTTTTTGTTATTATCTCATTGTTATTTCTCATTGATCAATTTTTATTGATCATTGATTACTTTTATTCCTCGAATATTTAATTACTGTTTCGATACGTTAAGATTCCCACTCGTATGTATTTCCAAAAAGAACGATGATTTACATAGTGCTCACATAAGAAATACACAAATATAAGCAACCAGAGAATTAACCTGCGCGAAGTTATTTAGATTTAAAAAATCTATAGTGTTGACAGACGATGTTAGATAATGTCCATAAAAGATAAAAGAGTAAAATGATAGTGCCTGTAAACCACTAATCACCTTCTTTACTCGCACATCCGTATGAAAATTAACTAAATTTTAAATAATTAAAATTTTTCCGGGGCCTCTCGCGGCCGCCGACACCGCCGACGCCTAGCGCCGCTACTGCTAACCTATCAGGTACTAAATTTCATATGCGCGTTATCTAATGTTGACGGATGGGCAAAAAGATAAGTTATCTATTACTAATTCCTATTTGGGGCGGAAATAGTTTGCAAAAGGTTTAAATAAGGTACCAAACATTCACAAAAGCAGTTTCATATTTTTTTCAAATGATTTGAATATTCGATAAAAAGGACAGCGCCGCCCTAGGGCTGAGTTATACTCCAACTAGATTCAAGGAAGAATAGTGTGTGATTTACTATTGTTATTTCACACCGCAATGCCCGGAAATAGACTAGTATTTTCAATTAGAAATATATTTTTAATCTATATTTTCAAATGAAAATTGATATCACTACTGCATGACATCCAGAACGAGGGTACAAACTCACTACCTATCCACACAAGAAAGTGCGCTGAACCGTAAAAAAAATTAACTGCTAGATATTTAGTTGGACAGCATTGAAGGACAATCAATGCTAGAGCCAAATATTGCGTACATTTTTTTAAATGTATAGAAGGATATATGCACAGGAAGGATACTAATATAGCGTCGCCACGTCCTGCACATGTAAACAAGATAATACGTATTTGATTAATATTGATTGATAACAGTTTTCTTTAATTTCACTATGTATACAAAACTAAAAACACAGCTATATCTAAAAAGTGCATTAAAGGTTTTGTATAAATGAATTGCAATAAATAACCTTATATATTTTATCTTTCTCTGATTATTCAAATAATTTCATTAGGGCAAAAAATTAAAATTAAATACGAGTACTTTGTGCAAAAATAATAGAATAAAATATTATAATCAAATACTTAGAGTTCCAATTATCCGATTTGTCTTATTTAGTTAATAGACAAATTTTAATTTTGAATGATGATATTGATTGAAAAGTTATCATGTTATTTGCAATATGGGAAAGCTTTTAAAAATTCATTGAATACTATTCAGATAATTGGGCTCCCCTGCAGCCTAGTGGTTAAAGTAACGTCCTTCCAACTAGAAGGTTGCAAATTCGGGACCCACCTCAGCCTGATGTCAAGAAGTAGTGATATCGATATTCACTAGTAAATATAAATAAATAGCAATATGTTTCCAAGTAAAAATAGTCCTTACCCGGAATTGCTGTATCAAAAAAATATTCTCAAGTAGAAAGAATAAAAAAAATATATCAAATTAACAAATTTTAATTTTAGATGATGATACTGATTGAAAACTTATCATGTTATTTGCAATGCAGAAGGCTTTTAAAATCTTGAATATTAGTGGTTAGATCTACGTCCTTCCAACCAGAAGGTTGCAGATTCGATACCCGCCTGGAACAGCCTGATCTCAAGTAGTAGTGACCTTGGTTTCAAATTGGATATATAGATAGCAATATGTTGGCGAAAAGCAACCTGTGAAAATAGCTAATACCCGGCATTGCTGCATCAATAATAATTTATAAGAAGTAATAATAAAAAAAATCTTCAAATAAAAATCTCGTAGTTAAGAACAATTAATCACAACAGAATATAGGACTCTTAAGTTCTGATCGCTGTTCAAATAAAAATAATTCTGATAAATCTTCATGTCAAATTATGTAGTAATACATAATGTTACTTTGTTGCTTTGTAGTATTTTTCAGTAATTGTCGGATAGCAGTTTAAACTTAAATGGCGCTTAACCAGGTCTAATACGTGATAGCAAAGGATAAATTTATTTTAATATAATATTTCTTGAATGAAATATTGCATCTTAATTGTTTTTGGTAATTTCCATAGAATTTCCGGCATTCAAGTGCGTTTCGAGGCAAGAGCATATTTTCAATAACTTGGAACGGATGCGACTGCTGATATATCATATCGCTTATGGACACATTGTACTTACTTCACCACTTCCATATCGCACAAAAATGAGAGAAGCGCTTTTAGTTTTAATTTTTGAGTTTTAAAATCAGTTTTTATTTATCGCCCGGGCTAACAAAAAAGTCAAAAAGTCGTTAATATCGCCCGCGACATTCGGTGACGATCGATTGAAAATTTGAATAAGCACTACCTAGTCTTAAGATTTGTTTGTTTATTTAATAAAATAATATATTATATTCTATTAATATTTAATGATGGTGGTTAGTTGTTTAAACCAAGTTATTTTTGTGATTTTGATCGGTTTTGGATTTACTTCTTCTAAGATGATTGGTCGTTATCAAGGTAAACTTCCCTCATATAGTCATTCATTTCAATTTTTTGTTACTGATAAAGGGCGAAATAATTTATCATTAAACCTACTAACTACATGTGATTAACAAACTATTTTTGGTATAAATTAATCAAATATGAAATTTGTGTTCAACTTTAATAATATTAGAAAGCCGCAATTAGTTCTGTTTATTCTGCATGAGTAAAAAAATATAAAAATTCTAATAATTCTACTATTATAAATATAGTTTTAATTATAAATTAAAATATTTTAATTTATAATATTAAGAAAAATAATTTTGATCCTATCAAAAAATAAACAAGTTACTTGAGTTTTGTAATAATATCACCTGAATGTCTGTATGTGCTAATAATAATTGAGATCATCAAATAATGAAACTATAGTTGTAGATTTTAATCCAGAAATTTTAAATTCACTATAAAAAAGTTTCAAGAGGTTTAAGCTATTTAAGCTAACCATATAATGTCCAGCTACTTTTCATACATAGATAAATAAATTTGCAGAATTTTTATGACGAATTAATCTTCCATGTATTCTTCATTTTTGGAAAAAAAGTTATATTGAAAAATATATTGAAGTGTAAAAAAACATTTATTATTTAATTATTTTTCAATTGAAATAATTCACTTTTTATCTGAATAATTAAACATTTTCCAATTCAAACATTCAACGCAACGCAAGAATTAAAACGCACAATTTTCTTAGTTATTTAGCTAAAATTCGATGTAAAAATAATTGAATAAGTAAAAATAATTAAGTAAGAATGATCATACAAGTGTATAAATGTATATTTTTTTATGAATAGTTTCTAAGGGGATATTCCATTTCCCCAGACGTTGAATAAAAGAATTGATAAATTAAATAAATATTTTTTGAAGAATTTATGTGTATTATAATTCGCAAATTGTCTATCGCCAAAAGCTAATTTATTGTTTGAGTAACTGAATTTTCTTAAAACACATATAACTGACATCAAAATTACAATAATTTATTCAAAGATCTATTAATTTAAATTATATATTGTTAAAAAATATATTATGTTTTTTCTTTTGGTTAAAATCTAAAATTTTTATTTAAAATCATTTTTCAATACAAACTACAAGCAAACATTGATAAAACATAAATAATTGATATTCTGACTGAACATTGTTTAATTAGAACTTGTGTTGAGACACGATAGAAGTAAGATCATAATTTCAATGAAAAAATAATTTTAAAAATCTTATTTTCAATTATTGATTTTGTGTTCATTATTAACTGAAAAAGTTTCATCTATTACGGTTCTTTTATAATTTTCTTTGAAATGTTTAAATATTTTTTTGCTATTTGTTTTGTAATTGTCGTAAATTATTTTAGAACATCTGAATAATGACACATATTTAGTATCGAAACATACATGCATAAATATACATATAATAAATATGTTTATTTTAATAGTTGTATCATTATTAGTCAAGTCATTATAGTAAGGTACACCTCGAATTTTGAGATACCCAGATGTATGTCAGTAAATACTTACGTTTTGCCAAGTTGTCTCAAAACCTACATATGTTGCGTACACCCTTCCATATGCAAGTTTTGAGACAACTTTTAGGGTGCGTAATACAAATATTTACAGACTTACAGCTAGGTATCTCGAATTCCGAGACCCTTACCTAATTTAAGCTTAAGTGACTGGACTATTTTGTTGTGTTATTTCCGTCTTGACAAACTATTTTTGGTATAAATTATACAACTTTCATTATATTTAAAAATTTTGTTCAATTTTAATAATATTAGAAAGCCGCAATTAGTTTTGTTTATTCTGCATGAATAAAAAATGTCAAAATTATAATATATACGGTTATTTAATCGCGCACATTCAATTAATTATAAGTATCTTAATTATTTAAGTATTGGTGCTAAAACTTTAAGAAAATGTTTCCAAGTCAAACAAAAAATGGCGGAAATATATACTATCGAATCAAGCCCTTGACAACCTTATTCGAATCACATTTTACTTGAATTTTACGGAAAAATATGCTTTTAGAAAATGTGCTCGTTCGTTAAAGGTTAATAATTTTTGTAAAATATTTTTTATAATAACTTATGCTTAAAATCTTGAGTTATCGCGTGTATTTGTCAAATTCAACACTCTTTATCATATTTATAAAATAAATACATCGAGAGAGCTTTTTCGTCTTCTGGTCTACAAATAAGTTCGATTCGAGTTGATATAAATCATGATTCAAATCTTGTTTTTTTTTTAATTCAAATCATTTGAATAAAGAAATTTTCGAGTCGATATTTAATACAGTAATACTCCGTTTAACGCCGTATCGTTTAGCGCAGTTTCGGTTAGCACTCTTTTATTTCAACCCAAGTTTTGAAGGGATAAATGAGGAAGATGTTGAAGAAATAATTCAAGAAGCAGAGCAGGCCCTCTAATGGTGAGCTCAAGTAATGAACTGAACAAGAAGAAAACAAAAATGTTGACAGCAGTGATTCAGCGAAAAAGCAAAAAGAACTTTCGATGGTAATTGTAAAAAGCAGTTCGTCTACCATTAATAATTGATCAATTCATTGAAAATGATCCAAATTATGACAGGAACTCTAAAGTAAGGCGTGGTGTGAGAGATGCTCTATCCGTTTATAAACGCCTTTTAAAAGAACAACGCAAAAGAAAAAGTGAAACGACATTAGATGCTTTTGTCACAAAAAGGCAAAACACTGAAAATACGGAAAACTAACTAAATATAACTGACTTAGAATGTTATTTGTTGATTCAAGAATATTCGTTTTGTTGTTTATATTTTGTTTTTATTTCTGCAAGAAATAATAATGTGGTATTAATTTGGGCTTTAAGCAATAAATGTTAGGTTTTATTTTTAGTAAAAATAACATACTTTTTAAATTTAATACCGAACCAATTTCCTAGCCGTCCTTCCCTAACCCCAATATTTTTATGTAAAGGTAGCCTCGTTTAGCACTGTTTCGCATTGCGCTCTACTTTGATGGAACGTAACCCCCGCGCTAAACGGGGTATTCCTGTATATACATATGTGTATGTATAAAGTCGCATAAATTAATAAATATTAATGCTAATTTGAATCCAATAGGACCGAATTCATTAACGCGTTCGTCGACGTACGACCGCCGTTGGGGTTGGCGCTCACATGGCATAGGCCCGCCGTTGCAGAACCTGGAGTCAAGCCAACGTTGCCGGCCACTTCCTAGGCCCGTCAATGGGAAATCAAGGACCAGGCAAAAGGGTCGGTTTGCGATGTTTTCATGCAATTCAGGATATATGCTAATTGGGCCGAAACACGCCGTTTGCGAAAACGGAGAATGGGATGTCGAATCACCGGTCTGTGCTAGTAAGTGGAAATTTAAACTAGTTGGTATTTTGCTATTTTGCTCTGAGGCAAGTTACATGAACTTCCCGATATGTGCAAATAATCTACTTAATAGATACAAAATAAATTAAATAAATAAGTGATTAAAAGTATTCCGAGTGGATTTATTACACATAATTGAACGAACACGTTAACTCGGAGTATTTTCTACAAATATTTTTTATAATTGAACCAGTTTCCGTAAGACTAATGGTTTAGTATGTTCATTAAGACCAAGTACTCTATTGTTATACCAAGTAAATCGTCTAATTTTAATTTTGACAAACGTCAAAAAAACTACTCATTGATGAATTTTTAGAACTAAACTACTTGTAGTAAGGCCGTAATGTTTCAGTAAGTTCTATAAGTCCATGATATATATCACTAAAAAAGGTTCCATAAAAATCGGCTTCAATGTTTTTTTCAACAGTTAATTACAAGAAAACGCCTTGGTAGATTTTCACCTAAAACTAATCAGTATCATACCCAACTAATACCTTTCAAACAGTTTTTGATTTTTTAAAATAGATTCGGTGGTATGAGCTTAAATGTGGACAAAAAGTTTAACACTTTTTCCAAATTACAAAGAACCGGCTCGTCAATTACGGCAAAAATTCTGTTCACACACACACACACATTCGTTTTCCAAATTTGGTTTCATTCGATTCAGAATGGCTTGAAACGTCGAGAAAACATAAAATTAGCAAATTGAATTTTTTGATGAGAACAAACTTCTTCTAGAAGTTAATATGGAACTACAATCACAATGCTTCCAAATTGATAGAGAACAATTCTCTGAAAGTTTTAGCACTTAATTTCTATGGAAATAACATGGGTAAAATTTCATTTGTTCAACTTGCGACAAGTGAATCAAAATTTTGAGAATAACATTGTATTTACTTATTTTGATCATAAATAAGAAAATTACAACAAAAATTTGATATATTTCATCAAATAATTATTTACTCAGGAAAAAGAACCAAAAAACTTTGGTTGGAGTGCGGACTATCTTAAAGTTAATATTAAGAGCTAAAACTTTCAGAAACTTGTTTTTTTATCAATTTGGAAGCATTTGAGCCCCTGGGAGCAAGGAAATTCGAAAACATCTATATTAAGAACCACCCTAATATTCAGTCAACCTTTCTATAACGCGGTAGTCTGGAAACGTAGTTTTCATATTACGCGGAGGTAAAATTACACATATAACGTATCAGTCTTCATATAACGTATGAGTTTCTTCCGCGCAATCTATGAATGACTCTATAATAACTAGATATTATAAATGTTTTTAATATAAGTTATTTTATTGACTATTTTACTTTTTACAATATGTTTATTTAAACAAGCTTTATATCATAGCTGTGCACGACATCGGTTTTGTAGTGTGACAGAATGTTGGTCTTAGTAAAAAAAATTGTGCTTGAATTTTCTTTTGTTGGAAACAGTTTTTGTTTCAATTTTATTAACATATTCTTATATAAATGCTTCAAATAAATAAAAATTATTTATATGTTTATTATTATATCCTAATATAAACCTTTTAAATCAATAAAAATAATTTACATTTTTAATATCATATTGTTATATAACTCTTCAATTCAATAAAAACAACATATATTTTATCCTATCTTTTGTATTTATTGGTCTCCATATAACGCAGTACAAGTGATGTGATTTGCACTGATTCTAAGTTTCTTACAGCGCGAAACAACGCAAAAGCCTCTTTTCATATAAAGTACTCCGAATTTTTCATAAACGGTACGCACTAACCGCGTTATAGGGGGGCTGAATGCATACTTTCTTACTTTTTATATACGTCCTCATGCAAATATTCTGCATTTGTTGAATATGATATAAGGGCAATATAAGCAAATTGAATTGAATTATATTGCTTGCAAATTTACTAACAGAACCTGGTTGTGCGCCACATGCTAAACCTGAACATGGGATGATTTATCACACGAATGACAGATCAGTTGCAATGTTATTTTGTGACCCAGGATACGAAATAGATGGATTTTCAATGGCTTATTGCAATGGACAAGTTTGGAACGGGACCTTTTCTGAATGCAAAGGTATTTAAGTAATCTTAGTTACTTATTATGACACCACTTAATAGCATTTTTGGACTTCGTATTTCAATTGCAACTATGCCCACGAATGGCGATTTTCACTTATGATTATATTTGAGATCTATAACCTCAAGTGAAAACTTGATATCGTGCTGTCCGGTATCGAGCTGGCCAAGGATAGGTTCAAGTCCGAGCCTAGTTCTTGCTAGCCCTCGTCCCTAACCATTACGCCACGGCGGGCTCCTTATATGCTAAATACAGTAATGTTTTAATGCTTGTTGATGGTAATTATCAAATTTAATATTAAATATCATAAATCCATTGTAATTTTCAAATGATTTAATTAACTAATTTTATTTTTATGAAGATCTGATAAAAATTTATGATTTTTGGTATGATAAAGGACGTAGTGACGTAGGACGATTATCTAACAATAAAACGTCTTTCATCAACATTTTCAGAATTGTCCTACACTAAATCTATCTACAGTTGTAAAGTCAAATATTTTTCCAATGTTTATTAGGAACTTTCAAAGAACCAGCATTGTCATGTGATTTCGAATCAGAAGATATCTGTGGATGGACTCATGATCCTACTCATGATTTTGACTGGAGAAGACATAACTATTCAACTCCTAGTAGTTTTGTGGGCACTGGGCCACAACACGATCATACATTAGGAGAAAATAAAGGAGGTAAATTTTATCTATAATATTCCTTCACACTGTGGATAGCTATAATATAACAATCTTCAGTAATTTCATTAGCACTAGCAAAAAATAAATTGCATAGATATCCGTTATGAAGTATATCTGAATATAAATGACACACAGCCACACAAACTAGTGTTGTGCTTGATTTCTTGTTTAGAGTAATAAATATCTGAATATCAATTCATTCTTCATTTTTTATAATTATTTATAAAAATATGCACCTTTGTAATACTTTACGTTCAGGATCAGTAAAATGAAATTGTAGGATTTGACACTTGAACGAGACCAGTTGTTTCACTTCTCATATAATCAAGGTAATCATACTCACGCGACTAGACGACCAATCACAATCGACCCGTATAGAAGTGATCTCATGAAGAGCGAATGACGAATCATTGCCACAAGACTCGAGCGTAACGCTCTTCCGTTGCATTTTCGCAGATTTACACCCTAGTCGCGCCTAAAGAAGTTTTACTTCAAAAAATTTGAAAACTTCTAAAAACCTATAATATAATGCTTTGAACTTTATTGAAAATCTACTAAAAATATAATAAAATTAGGTTAGCAAAATTGTTTATTCATCGTTAACTTAGGCAAATTATAAAATTTATAAGTTTTCATGCAGGCTTAGACAGTTAGAAAGCGAGCAATATGTCTGCATAAATTTCAGATGTTTTACAGGAGGAGATGTTTTCTCACTTCTGTGAGAATTTTTGGGACAAATATTTTTTTGTTATTATTTAAACAGTAATCAGAACTTAAAGGTCCTATCACAATTTCTGTAATAGTGATAATTTTTATTGATGCACCGCAAGAGCTATTTTCACTTGGACACATATTGCTATCTATATTTACATATGTGTCTACTACTTGATATCAGACGGGTATCAAACCTGAAACCACTTATTGAAAATTTATAGCACTCACGACTAACCCACGAGGAGATCCATATAAAATTTAATTAATAAATGATGTGTGTTGCTACGTGTTCTATAGTAAATCTAATAAATAATAAACATATGACAAATACAAATTTTTGGCCAATAAATAACCTATGTTCTTTTTCTGTGTATATTCGAAACACTTCTTAATAATCAGTGGTTTTTACGCATTGTTAACACCAATTAAATTGTTTTCAATCATCCACTTCTCAATTAATTTTGCAGTTTTAGTTACATTTAATGACTTATTATAAAAAGTGTTTTTTTTTTCATAACCATATCAAAATAAATTTGACGATGGTTAGGCAAATTGTCTGGTGCAAAAATTGAACTTAACTATTTTTTTTTTTTGAAACTGGTTGATTAAAAATTTGATACTATCTCTATTACAGGGCATTATATGTACATCGAAAGTTCGTCAAGGAAAGAAAATCAAACGGCCCGACTGTTTTCACCTTTGTACAGAGGCAGCGAAGTCGAAAGGTGCTTTGTTTTCTACTACCATATGTACGGTAGAAGTATAGGATCGTTAAATGTTTATTTGAAACCAGAAGGTATAGGTATAAAAACCCTCATAGAAAATGCAGATGTTTTTAGAAAGTTTGAGAAATCTTTCAACCAAGGAAACACATGGCATATGGGATTCTTCTACTTGAATTCAACAGGGGAAAACTTTCAGGTACTAAAAAATTTGGTTATATAATAATAACTTTTCTCTGAGTTCTTACCTTACGATACGAAATCCAGAATCTACCGCAAATTTCTTTTTTCGGATTAACATCTTTTTCACGTCCAACTTGGGATCTGAATTGTATATTACAGATCAATGATTGCGTCGTTTAGCCCTTTTTGACAATACTTTCATTTCTAGAAGCATAACTGAAAAGAATTTTCATTAATACCCGTTATTATAAATCATTGGACAAGACATTGTTGAAATTTAATTACCATATATGTTTTTTTCAATGGTTGTTTGATTGAATTTTGAAGGACCTTTGTTATAAACACTTTAATTTGTAACTGTATGTATTTATTTTATGTTAATTACAATTTATAATCGTATTTATAATAATTTCAATGTTGTTTTTGAAAACGTATTGATTGACTTGATTTTTTATATGATTTTGGATTGATGATTTTTTGTTTATATCAATATAAATCGCACCCTTTGATATGGCGCGAACCAGTGGCGTCGGAACCGTGTGGGCTGTGTGGGCTTGAGCCCACCCATGAATTTTGATGGGGGGGGCTTAGCCCACCCATCAATTTCAAAAAATTATATGGGCTAATATGCCTAAAAAAACGAACCTACTGCCTGTCTATTAAAAAAAAAAAAAAAAAAAAAAACGAGCCTACCCATCAAAAATTTGCTTCCGACGCCACTGGCGCAAACAATATACAAATGTGTATGAACTGTAAAGTTTATAAAGTTTAACATATGTTACATACTCATGTTCATAAACAAGTGTCTGCTAACAAATAAGATCAGTAACAATATTTCATTTCTCCTAAAAAAAATATCTGCCATAAGAGGTCAACATATGAGAAACTAATTGTAAAACCCTATATGGTAGATAAAGTATAAGTAGATAACTACATATACACACCAAAAACGAAATACTATATACTATTTAATTTAATTTAAAAATAAATTATTGATGACAAAAATTGTTGCAGATAGTCATAGAAGGAGTCAATGGTCCCAGTTACACTAGTGATATTGCTGTTGATGACGTTGAAATTTTGGAGGAACCCATGTGCGCAAATATTTCTTCATTGCAAATTGTGGAAACCGAAGAAGAAGGTAATACTATTTTTAGAAACATACAAAAACGAATATATAGACCATGTATAAATTGAAAAAAATACTAATATAATAATAGTTTAAATAAAAATGATTTCACAATTACATAAGATGCATTCCTGATTTAAAAATAATTCGATATAGATCATAATACTGAACCAACCATGATTGTTTTATTTTTTCTGTTTTCAGGTGGTTATATCGACGTTCAATCTTGTGCAAATCGATGTGATACGTATGGTAACTCTACCACAACAGGACCTTCAATTCAAGCTTGTGATTGTACGATTGATTGTGATGAAACACAATCTTGCTGTTTGGACTATTTTGATGTCTGTGTATTCGGTGAGTAAAATATCAATTTCATAAAATATTTTATTGTTTTATATTTACATTATATAACACTAGTGCAACCAAATATTTACATGGTCTACCAAACGAACAAAAAGATTTTCGATTTTGGTTCTTATTGTTTCATCGAAAAATGTGATAGAACATCTACTGATGAAATTTGTAATCACCGTGGAGTATAAAACTCTGCAACGGGCATGCTCACACTCATAAATATTTCTTTTTTTTCATCTTTCTAAATTTCAAAGAGTTAGACATACTCTTTGAGTTTTGGATAAAAATTGAATTTGAATAAGAGCTTTAATAGTTTTTAGGTTCGAAATCAATACCACCATCGTTACCGTTGTCGACAATATAGGTATAAAATAGGAACAAAACATTAAACGAAAACATAGGATAAAATAAAAACTATAGGGATAAGTAACAGTTTAAATTGTTCCACATTCACGAACAAACAAAAATACTTACAATTTTGATGTGCATTACATAATCAGAAGATAATACCGTGATAATACTCTGAATATAACGGGAATAAATAAAACGAAGTCTAATTTTCACACTGTCGACCATTCAATGCACTGATATTATTATACAATCTGCTGCATGATCTGAATTAATCTATGTCTCTTTCGACCAAATTGTATTACCGTGAAATATTCATTTAAATAACATTAACTGACAGCAAAATTAATTTCAGACAGTACGCCTGCAACAGAAACGACTGATGTGAATGGTGACTTCACAGGTGAATACACGACTTATGTACCTCCAGAAACGACACAAAGGACTCAAATGACTAATAAACCGACAACTGAATCAACTACCGCCACACCTACTACTCGATTAACTACAAAAACTACAGTATTGACAACTTATACGACCAAAACAACAACAACTGAAAAGCCAAAAGTAACGACTACAACACCTCGTACTACAAGCACGAGCAAAACTACTATCAAAATTTTAAACACTACATATCTGCGGACACAGAAACCAACTCGGCCAACAACTAGGCCAACAACTAGGCCAACAACTAGGCCGACAACTAGGCCGACAACCAAACTTACTACTACTGAAAAACCACTTGCAACGACAAAAATTACCATGTCGACAACTGCTGCTTCGACAGCTGCTGCTAAAAGAACAACTCCCAAGCGCGAAACTGCAGAAAAAGCGATTACGGTCGTCGATCGAGAATTAGAAGAAAAGCCAAGTGATGCACTTGAGACAAGTATTATTATGCATAGATTTTACATAGAAAGTAGTCATGTATCATGTATAAAGTAAATTTGTTGAAACTATCTGACTTGCCAACAAAAATTTGATGAATTTCGTTATAAAAATTTTGATATTTTTATATTTTTATTGAACATTTAAAATTGATTATATTTTGAAATATGATCTAATAATTATGATCATCATATTACCAATTATTAAAATTTATTAATGATATTATAGATCTAAAAAAATATAAATAATAAAAATATAAATAGGAACCCTAGATTGATGGTTTATGGATACATTAGGTTTTACAAAATCTACTTTTATTTGGCAGTTTTGTTTTGGGTATGGGGGTAGAGCGGCCCCAACGAGCACAAGCAGAAAGCAAAACAACAATTTTCCAAAAAATTGAATAATTTTAACGTAGTTTGCATTTCCTTTTGTTATCGAGTGGTATTGAACTTCAACTTGTAAGCTAACGCTTTAAGAGAATTTATTTCTACTGCAATATTTCTGCAAGCTCCAGCAATCAATTCAATTAGTAAAGCTTTTGCACATCCGATAAGATATGAAAACTTATTGAATCAGTTTACTAAAGAAGTCCAAATAATTTGCAAAAAAGATGGAGGATTGCAATAGCTATTTTAAAGAAAAGAGACAAAAGATAATGAAGCGTTATTATGATGATTTATCCCAAGATGAGAGAATTTTAGACCCGAAATCTTATTTTAATGTATACTATTGCTGTTTGAATATATTAATTTCACAAAAAAAAAAGATTTCAAAACTTTTGCGACGTAAGTAGTAACATTTGTCCTTTTGAAATCGAGAATTAGTAAACGTTTCCGGAAAACTGTTGAATGAATTACTGTAAAAATATCTCATATTGATGGTTCCAGAATAGATTTGAATACAGAAATCCAAGAATTTTTTTCATTAAGGTACAATGATGGAGGCTTGCATCCAGTTTTCCCAACGAAATAACAGTATGCATTTTATTCTTGGCCCTTCCAGTTACAATCGCAACTGCTAAAAAAAAAATTAAATAAAAAATTACGTACAAACTTTAGTATAGAAATGTCTACCAGACCTATATGTTCCTAAGGATAGAAACTTTATAAAATTGAAAGATCGCTAAATAATTCAGTTTTTTTTTTTTTGTTAAGGGCAAGAAGAGTGAATATATATATGGAATCATTTGTGAAAAATTCAGAAACTTAGATAAAACTAGATATATAAATAATTAGAATGATAAATAAATATTCATTTAATTTGTGTATTTTTAAATTTTGTAAAAAAAAATCTTGAGAGGGCCCCCAAACTTTGAGGCTGAAGCAACAGCAATACGAATGAAACGGGGCTGAAACAACAGCAATACGATCTTTGATGGTTAATAATTTAACTATTAATTAAAACGTTTTTCAAAATATTTGTGAAAAACAATCTTGGCCAAATGCAATTCACCGACTTGAAAGAAGTCGCAGAAAAAAAATTGACTAAATGGTAAAAGATGTAATTTGCCAAAGCGCTATCCCACGTATAAATAATAACTGATGTTTGACATACTCTTCATTTATCTTGGAACGCACCTAGTATTTTCTTTCTTCATATAAAGCTTATAAAATTTGCAATTTCATTTCTCATCACAAACTTTCTTCTTTTATAAAATAAAGCCAAATAAGTTTTTCAGCGCTGTGTCTAAAATCACGTTTTCTTATTCCAGTGACCGATTACCTGGAAGACCAAGGAAATCGAGAAATTACAGAATCCAAGCAACAACTTGTAACGGGTTGGAAAGGAAATATGCTTCCGACTCTTCTAGCAATTGGCGGAGTCATGGCAGCCTGTGGGATTGCAGCTATTGCCTTTTGGAGATTCAGAAGACGTAGTTTTCAATATAAAAATTCAAGCGGTCGAAGCCGACAACATGCCTGTCGGAGAGGAGGCGATGAAGAATTCAGCGAAGTGCGCTATTTGACAGCAGATGAACAATTAGATTTTAATTTAGCCTCGCCTGATGGTGATTGAACTTCGTGATAAAGCTTAGAGCTCGTTTAGTTAGTCTTGTTTTAGAATAAAAGATAAAATACTAAGTAGTATCCACAACTAAAAAAACTAAATTGTGTCCAAAAATTAAAAATATTCTCTTCGAATTAAATTCTTATGTGTTCAATATGGACATGATTATACATAAAAATGATATTTATAAATATATAAAAATTTCTAAACCGAAAATTAAAGAGACATATTTAACCTTTCGCTACAAGAGTGTTTTTCGCAAGAGTGGCACTGTACAAGCCGATAAACTGCCCGAGTATATTACATTTACACAAAATATTTTACAATTTTTCAATTAATACCAATAAAAATGCATTTAAAAATTAAGAATTCAAAATTAAAAATTACACTTCTACGGAACTAAAAACCGCAATAATAAGTTAGATTTCTCAATAATTTAACTCGGAATGATGTCGTCTATAGGCGATACCCGCATACAAAAGTCGTCCAGCGGTTGTCGTCTATAGGCGACGCTTGTAGCGTAAGGGTTTAGAAATTCTTTAAATTAGCATGTAAGCAAACCACAAAATCTATGCCACAATAAAAAAAAGTTGCATTCTCGTCACATAGTTCTGTTTAACAATGTGTATTATTTTATTAACTACTATAAGAAATTGTCGAATAATTCATATGCTAAAAATAAAGACGTTTGTATATAAATAATCCATTTTCATTTAGAGTACCTCTAGAAGTTATTCCCCCGTAAAAATGTGTGCGTGTAAAAATTGTAAACTCGACTTTGGCAACTCAAGAAAGATTCTTAATAAATGAATCTGAAATTGTAAATCAATTTCGTTGCTCTTGTTGAACCAAAGATACAACATTATAGTAATGCCTAGCAACAATTATTTTAATTATTAACACTTGAAAGGTATCACTTATTCTTGTTATATATAATAAAAAGAGCCGCGACATTGGCCGAAATAACAATAATAATCAATGCCGAAGGCAGGTCCATGGTGTGAGAGCCATGATTTCCTTTGTTCATCATTCCCATTATTATTTCATTGCCATTATTCACTTTTTATACACTTTTATGCAATTTCCTATTCAAACTTCTGCTTGCATTTTTTCTGATTCTGTATTTCGGCTCAGAGTTCCCTGTATTTTCTCTTCCCGCGTAAGCCATCAATCATCTGCTTTCTTCTTTTCCTCAATCCTTTTAGTCTCTTCATATTCGAGTAGGAGGCACTCTTTCTGCAAAATAAGACCGATCCAGATTTCTTCCTTTTTCATTATCATGCTTTCTTCACCCACTCTTCTTAGCATTTCTTCATTTTTCATCTTGTCTGTCCATTATCTTCTCCATTTGTCTCCAGCACCACATTCCAAAACTCTCCAGATAGTTTTTGTCGGCCTTTCTTAGAGTCCACGTCCCTGATCCGCAATTATAGCCACTTTATTAGCCACTTCCGCAAGTCGAAACTCCATTTTCTTTTTCTTTGTCGCGAATGCCGCTTTGGACGCTTGCTATCCTTGCCCTGATCTCTCACGTGCAGTATCTGTTTCTGGTCAGAATGGTTCCCAAGTATTTGAAGTGATCACATCTAACAATTCCCTATATCCTGCCCGTATCCTCAAACACTCATCTAGTTTCTATATTCTCATCACTTTCAATTTGTCACTGTTGATCTCAATTGCGTATCTTCTACCCACTCCGACGATTCTGCCAATCATATTTTGTAGTTCGGTTTTGGTCATCGATATCACCACGACATCATCTGTGTTCATATGGTGGTGTTTCTTCTTTCATTAATCAAAAATTGCTAGTCCCTTCAAGTACCTCGTTGACTAGCATTCTTCGTGCAAGTTGAACAAGATTAGTACCATGCAGCATCCTTGCCGCACACCTCTACTTATTTCGACGCTGACTGTATATCCCTGATTTATTCGAACTTTTACCTTCTGTCCCAAGTACAGTTTCTGAATCAGAGGGTCCCAATCTATGCCATATAATTTTAACCGAAATAAGCTGACCGAGATCACCTAAATATATTCCTGATTATAATAAATTATTCTCAAATTAAAACAAAATTATTAATCATAAAAGAACGTACATTTTATTTTTCTACACTTTCATAAATTCTCTCTAATTATAATTCACTTTAATATATACTTAATCTTTCCTTTATATAATAATAATAATAATAATAATAGTAATAACAGTAATAATAATTAGAATTAATGATAATCATAATCATGATGATAATTTTGATAATTGTTCAATTAAAATAGATTATATTATCTAAATATATCACTATATACAATTAGAAAATTTAAATAAGCATTTGGTGATACTTTATTTCCAAATAAAGAATAAGCTCGATCTTTGTCATTTACAAACAGTACTAAAAATATATTACTGTTAATAGACTTCAATTTCAGTTTCGCTCATGATATAAACATGCAAGCATCAACAATCCGCAAATAAAACCTTACTATTAAATATCAAATAATATATTACCAACAAATCAGTATGCTAGAAAAATATTTCATTTTCCACATTTTTTTTAAGAACAATTAACTAAGTAACAACAAAAACAATAAATAGAATTCAAAATAATATATGGGTGTGAACATTATTGTGAACTTATTAAAATTGAGTATATGAATGCTATTATCATTGGTGATTTATGACAAATTTTTAAAATTATTTAAGTTAATGCTTCATTCACTTGCATATAAATTGCTTGTAGTATTCCAATCTGATAATGATAATACTGATTTGATAAAAAAGTTAAAACCCGAACTATTTTAAATGCTTCTATATACAGATTTGTCTCCACAAAGAGATTGTTTTAGAGCTTATTCAATTATTTATTAAATATACAATTTTTTAAAATTGTTGAACAATTAAATATATATTTGTATATAAATACATTATATACAGATTAATCATATACAAGTAGTAGTACGTACGTTTGGTGAAAAAATCACCAAATGTTGATTTGATTCAACACACAAATAGCGACATTTCGCTACAACAATAAAATGATGGTTTCGAATGAAAATTGTAAACCATGAAAGTGAGACTTTCTAGGCTTACACACAATATCATCTTATAATTAAAATAGTATTCAGAGCTATCCTCATAATGAAATATTGACCACACGTGAGCATCTGATGCGTTAGATTTCAAATGAATACATGCATACAAGGAATATTCATAATTGAAAGGAATCATTTTTTTAATATAAATTTTCTATAGAAACAAAATCAGATTTAACATTGCAGAACATATCATTTCAAATATGATGCTGCGGATACATAAAACTATGAAAGAAATTTTCATTTTTATAAAATAAATATATGCTATGTAAGATTAATATGAACTATATCTATCATATCCTATAGATTCATATAAATCTATATCGCGAAAATAATTTAGCATATAACTAATGCAATCAGATATTTTCGAGTTATATGACCTACCTGGCAATAATGATAACATAATTGACCAATTGTAATATGTTTAAATATATTATTTACGTAATCAAAAATTATTCATCAAACTGAATTTGAAGATAAATCGTTTTAGTGCTTTAATTTAGGATTACCAAGGGGAATTTTATGTATGAACTTTCATTAAATCAATTTTAGAAAATGTTTATTCAGATATTTGATTTTGGGGAGATGAATTTTTGAATAAGTTACCATCATCCTCAACTAATGCTTGTTTGTTAGACGACGCGTTTGTAGGCTGATTCAAATTTTCGGTTGGACTCTCTCCTTCGCTGAACAAACCTGCATTTGTTGCGGGGATGGGATGAGCATTGTCCGTGTGCTGAATTATATTCCCGTCAGCACCCACCAAGTGGCTCGGCACATGAGGGTTTGCTGCGGTCGTTTTACGAGATTTATCACCTTTGCGCCACAAGGTTATTTCCTAACAAAGTAGAAATGATAGTAGTTTTATAATAATTTCAGCTTTATTTCCAAAACTGCAACTATATAAAACTAAAAGATAATACCGCTAAGCATTAAGTATTTAACACTACAACATACATTTTGGCAAGCTAAATATCATCTTTAGTTTTCTAACACAGATTAGTATATGTATAATATGATAATTGTACAGAATAATTGTGATAACACATGCATTTCCATGTAGAGGAAGTACAGACAAAATGACATGGTGTTTTAATTCTTAGTAATATTTATTAATTTAATGTTATTATTACCAATCTCAATCTTTTTTAATAATCTTTGGTTCATTGACTAACAGTAACATAGTCCTTTAAACTTTAAAAACATATTTATTAATGAAATTAATAAATTTAAACTTTAAAAACATATTTATTAATGAAATTGATTATAAAAACGACACACAATGTTCATATAGCACGAACAAAATGACATAGGATAAAGACATACTGATGCTAATTTTTATATATAATAATTAACTTCCCGTAGGGTAAGTTATAGTAATGGACATATGCACATCAAATTATCGGATATATGAAAATAAACCTTTAAAGGCTCGATACCGGTTGGACTGATTACTGAAATAAGATTGTGACAACAACGCTCAACGTCTGACAGTTTTGTCAGGGTTTACAGTCACATAAACGTTAATAAAACTAGCCAATGATTAAATAAGGCCACTGAGTCATTTTTTCGATATTCACCATTTTGTCCATATTTCCACTATTAATCTATCCATTATTTTAACAAGAGTAGCATGGGATAAGCAAATTCAATAAAAATTACTAATTTCATTATGCCATAAACCATAATTTCAAAAAACAATGAATTTTATTACTATTGCATTTCAGTAAAGTGAACTTGATTGACTTCTTCAATTGTAAGTATCATATACAACATATATGAAAATTAATGAAATTATAAGTGGAAACTTGAAATGAAATGCACAAGCTCAACAAATTCATTTGATGATTTCATTAATAAGGTACGTGTCAATGCATAAATGTCGTTAAACTAACCACCTAAAAAAGCTCAATTTAATTCATACTCTGGTGTTATTTCTTTTCTGATATATGTGTTATTACCCCACATTGGCTTCAATTACAATATAATAATCAATGATCAATGAAATAAATGTAATGATATTAATTAAATGAATAAAATGATGAATGATATTAAAATCTATTAACACAGGCTTATGTAATAGAAGTTACGCTAAGATGGGTAAAAATTACTTCAATTATAATTTAGTCATACCTGTTGTTTAAAATAGCGCCTATCTTCAGTATCCATCAATACGAGATTCAAATAGTAGCGAACAGAAAACTTTTTATTAATATCTCTCATCGTTGGAGTTAAGTCATAGCCTGCTAAAAATACTCTTATTGGAATGCTCTCTCCTATAATAAAAAATTTTAGAATTTTAATTATTTATGAATTGTATGTCTATATCTATGCACGTATATATATATATATATATATATATATATGTGTGTGTGTGTGTGTGTGTGTCTGTGTGTTTGTACATATATGTGCATATAATATTTAGTAAAGTAAATTGTTCACCTTTTACTGGTGCTCCATCCATGATTTCATACTTGGCAATGGTTTCAGTTTCTAAAAATGGACTTGGAGCTAAAATAAATAAGAACAATTTTAAAATTAAACCAAAAAGTTGTTTTTTTCTTTTCAATTTATTAATTTACAAACCTGAACCTGATGTTTCCTTTTTAATAATAGCTATTTCCATATGTTTGATTTTAATTCTAACCAACAAAAAATATATTTTCCCAACAATTACATCTTTCAAATGATATCTGAAAGATATTTTATATTTAGTTGCACTATTAAATAAAATTATGCAAACTATTAGCAATAAATGCATGTACACATACTATAAATACATGTTCTGTAGATGATTTATAACATAATAAAATAGAGATTAGGCATTATTCCAATCATAAATTTTGTTTTATCGATTGTAATCCATTCTAATTACATTGATTGTCCAATTACTTAGTCTTTTTAAACCAAATTTTTCTAGAGATTCCAAACTTTTTACAAAATTTCTAACTCAATACAAATAATAAACATAACTGAAATCTGTTACAGATTTTCAGAAAATAATTGTAAGACACTAGAATTGCCTAATATTTCTTTTTGTTTATTCTCTGGCATGAACTGTTTTACAGTCTTCGACTTTATACACTAATAATTTTTATAAAATATTAGGAGTTAAAATTATAAACATTTTGAATAGATAATTATACTTACTTGGATTTATTGTACTCAAATTCTATATGTAAGCAATCTTCTATTCCAACCTCCATTTTTATTGGAACATTCATTTCCGGATAACTACTTAATGTATGAACTGCTATATCAATTTCCTTAATTATATCACTCAAACGCCTCACAACAGTTACACGCAAAAAATATCTGCAAAATTATTAAAATACAGCGCTTAAGAATTAAATTATTTCTATCAGTTTGCCATGAATTTCAGGTGTTGATATCATATTTATCCTTCCTTGTACGAAGAAAAATTACTCCTAACATAAGCTTTGTCTTAAAAATTCTAGAATACTTTTTCCACAATCCATACCCAAAACTTTTCAGAAGCATTGTGAAGAATGCGTAACATATTAAAGACCACTTCTCACCGAAAGATCATTCACTTTAATTAAAATAAATCTAGGGATTAAATAATATCACCCTCAAATTAGGAAATGTAGTCTTCAATATTAAGGTTATCTTTCAGAATATACATCCACAACAAATTTTCATCTATTTCAGAAATCACAGAAACCTGTGACAAACAAATAATTGATGATTAAATGCCATTTGTAATTGAATATGAATATCTGGGAGTTCACTATCGTACAGATGACACAAAAATACTCTCACTTGAAATAATAGAACTTTTCACAGAAATAAGTACAAATAAAGTTTTGCTTAAATCCGAGTAAGAACATATAACAATCATAAGCAGAAATAAGTTTCTTGAAGTTTTTGTTAGCCTCGAATCTTTCTTCAATTTGACACTAACCTTAATCTAACACTAGCTCCTGTATATACTTCATAAGGCTTTTCAACATTTGCAAACTCAAAGGGATAACTTGTGTTCTGCAATAAGTCACCAGGTCTAGCCAATTCCTTAATGAGAGAAGTAAATTCATGGTGATTGCCTCTATCATAATAGAGTTCAATCTGACCTATTAATAAAATATTATAAAAATTAGTTGTATATAGATATGCAAAAATTTATTTAAATTCATTTAATGTAAACTCAAGAAATTTGTTTCTTTGTTTATCATTGCATAAATTTATATAATATTTAAAGTTGTAAGTATATTGACTTGATGATTAATAATATAATTACCTATTAGTTCAACTTTAATTCCTTGATGTTCCAATTTGGTTCCAGGTTTTCGTAACGTAACATTTACCTACAATTTTAATAACATAAAAACATTTCCTTATTTACCTTAAAATCAGTTTTTATGCAATCATGTGAAATTTGTTTACATTAAATTTGTTTCCAAAATTTACATATGCAAATAAAGATTGTGATAAAAATTTGAGATAAGCAAATGTGTTTGGTTTTATTTGATATTATTATGATTATATTTGTATTGTAATATTGAATATATATTGAATAATCTCAAGTCACCTTTCCAGAGACAGTTTCACCGTCATAATATAATAATTGCCGTTCTTTTTTGCCATCTTCCATTTTCACATCAGTCATTTTTCGATTAGCAGCTCCATCGAAGACTATATCAATATCAGCGGTTTGACCAAAACCCAAAAAATTCTAAAATAATAGGATTAATCAGTTTATCTTAATTAAGATAGATATAAATACATTTATGTTATAAATTTTATATAGTTATAGGTTAGAAAAAATTACAAATCGGCCACAAAATTTAATATAAAAATAAAATTCGATCATTTCGTACCATCTTAAACAACTTGAAATCGGCTGCTTGAAAAGAATTTTGAATAAGAGATACTTCTTAACGTTACATGTAATCTGCATTCAAAATATGTGGCATTTTGCAATCTCGAAACTGACTTATAAAATTTGACAGGGGCTGTTCGCCATAGAACATATAATCATGATTTTCCGTAGATGACTGACTAATGGCTGTTTTGTATTCTTCGACTGCTGCTCTGCTCTATTTATATTTATTTGTCTATGGGCTGCTCCCTGAATTTTCGCTGACAACGCTGATGTGAATGTGAGTAAATGTGAATGTGAGTGAATAAAAGAAGAGTATTATATCATTTATACCATTTATACATATATCATTTAATTAGTAATATATCATTTATACATATTGAATCAAACTTAACTCACTACACATAATAATTCATTAATAATCTTTATGGTTTCCTTAATCTAAAATTTTTAGTAATAAGTTTTTTCTTTTGCGTTTGATTTGTTAACTTCCCGAAGAAGAGTTTATGTTTTCATCAAAAAAACCGATTCGCTAATTTTATGTTTTCTCGACGTTTCAAGCCATTCTGAAACGAATGAGACCAAATTTTGAAAAAGTATGTGTGTGTGTGTATGAACAGATTTTTTGCCGTAAATCGACGTTTTTTTCAAAAACGGCTGGTCCGATTTCGAAAATTTAAAAGCCATTCGATGATTCGATGTATCTCGATGAGGACTATTGTTTGTCAGTTTTGCGCAACGATCGGCCGAACAATTTCTTTGTAAATCGCAGAAAAGTGAAAAAATTTTCGTCCACGTTTTAGCCCGCAATTCTGAATCGATTTTGAAAATTCAAAAACTGTTCAAGGAATATTGGTTGGGAATCATGTTGATTAGTTTTTGATCGGCCAAGCCGTTTTCTTGTAATAAATTGTTGAAATTTTTTTTTCGGTGATTGTTATGATTTTTTTTGACGGTAGATACCATAGTCTTATAGATCATACTGGAATGTTACGGACCTACGACAAGTCGTTTAATTTTAAAAATTCTTCAAAGTTTGCAAAAATTAGTATCGTTTTTTGGCATTTGTCAAAATTAGACCTTTCATCGACGTTTGCTCAAAAACGCCTGAACCGATTTCAGAAATTTAAAAGCTATTTGATGTATCTCAATGAGGTTGAGGACTATGGTTTGTTAGTTTTGTGCGACGATCTGTCAAGTCGTTTCTTTGTAATTTGATAAAAAGTGTTAGACTTTTTGTTTTTTTTTTATTTAAGCATTTTTGTTTATACTTTTATTTAAGCTCATACTACCAAATCGATTTTAAAAAATCAAAAACTGTTCTAAAGATATTAGTTGGGCATGATTCTGATTAGTGTTAGGTGAAAATCTACCAAGCCGTATAGTTTATTTGACGTTTGTTAAAATTAAAATTAGACGATTTACTCGGTATACCGATAGAGTACTTGGTCTTAATGAACATACTAAACCATTAAAGGCCTACGGAAACTGGTTCAATTATAAAAATTGTTGATTTTAGAAAATTTGCTTTTAGAATACTCCGAGTTTGTTCGTTTTCAATTATGTGTAATAAATCCACTCGGAATACTTTTAATCACTCATAAATTAATTTATTTTTTATTGATTAAGTCGATTATTTACACTTATCGGGAAGTTCATGTAACTTGCCTCAAGGCAAATTACCAATACCAACTAGTTTTTTGTACAGTTTCACGCAAACTATTTAAAGTAAAACGTTAACGATCGATAATATATCGATTTAATAGTACAGCAAATTGAAACTTTCAGGAATGAAAAATATAAAATGTATGAACAAAGAACATGTAAACGGCAAAATAAAAAACTTGCACAATGACTTGTCACACAATTGGTTTATCGATAATACGTTTAAGCAGAATTATTTATCGTATATTAATCTCATCATCAATAGTATATATTGAGAATATATAAGCAATTTGGTAGTGATTTATAAAAATATTTATGTTTTCTTGGAGAATGATGTGTTAATTTATATTTTGAAATCGATTCTCATGTAACCGTACGTGTGTAAAATCGATTCGTGGGTAATCATGCATGTGTATGTGAGTTCATATATGTACCGTCACGTCGAATAAGTATTAACCCACACATCGATTTACACATGCTGAGTTCACTCCGTTATCGATGTTGTGTTTGTAGTATTTTCAATATTGCATGTTCAGAAGTTACGAAGTGTCAAAATCTTCCCCGAGTCAGGGTCGTGTGGGATGTGGACTTGTTGTTAGTTATTAAAGAAACTTTTACAAAAACTGCAAATGTACAATTATAAACACTTCTAGTATTAATGTTTTTGACTGTGGTATGTGTATTTATTGAACATTCTAAATGTGTTGTGTCTACAGTGAGAATTATCAAGTAGTGGATGACGTGGCGTGATTTATATTAAATAACACTTTGTTTTTTCATTTAATTACCTTATATTATTTGTATATATTAGCAGGAATTGCCACTCTTAGTGTTAAATATTATGTGAGTATTTGTTAAACATCAATTTTATCTCAAATAACACCATAAATCATTAGTATTTTCGTTGCAGATGAATTTGATTAAATATGAATCCCAATTATATGGCTCCCCCAATGAGGACTAATGCTTTGCATAACCCTTTATTGTCAAATACTGCACCACCAAACTTAAACACCAGTGAAGGCATGGCCAATAATGTAAATGCTGCCATGAACCAATTGTCAAATATGTCCATACACAATCCATATGAAAAAAATATCAATTTGCCAAGAGATCATAATGTTATGAATGGGCAAATGGGTAACAAACCAGAAAGTACAAATATGGTGTCTAACTGTCCACCACATATACCCACATCTTCAGTTCCAGCAGTATTGAATGGAAACTTTATTAATGCTAATGTGAATTCTGAAAAGTACTTATTACCACAACAGCCTTTACCAAATCAGCCAAATCAACAGCCAGGTTATTATTTATTCTTTTTTTATATATAAAACGAGATTTTTTTATATTGTTTTATTTCATTGTGTTTTATTCTTATAGGGTCTATGCCACCAGTAGGTTTACAATCACCAATAATAAATCCAGTATCAAATGCTGATCAAACCAACACTCATGGGAGTCTCTTACATCAAAATAGATCGAATTTACTTCCTGGACAGTTTTTACCAAATCAACAGATGCCTCCACATTTACCACCACAGAATTCTCAAATGCAAAATCAAACAGTGCAAGTCAGCAAACAAAGTTTTCTTTTGTCTGGTCCTCCAAACGTCTCACAACAATCTGTGAATCCAATGATACCACCACATATGCCTCCTCCAGTGACTGGAAAAGCAGGATCTGAACAAATTTCAACACAGCCATCTGCATTACCACCGCAAGTGCAAAGCCCACCTGGTTCTGTAGCTCCCACCTTATATCAGACGAATCAAATGAACATGATGCCTCCTCAGCAATTTAATTCAATGCCTCCTAAAGTAAATTCTATGCCTATGGGACAAACGATGCAAAACCAACAAGTTTATGGTTCAATACCCCCTCATACTAGTAATATGGGACAGGTACCATTACAACCAGATCAAATGGCACAGCCACCTCAAGGAGGTCAACCACTACCATATGGAGGTAACATGAATCACCCATATAATGTCCAAGCTCAGGCAAAAAATGCTCAGTATGTTCAGCCTAGAGGACCAATGTATCCAGTGGCAGGCACTGGTATGATGCCACCTACACAGCCTGGTTATGCTCCAGCACCATATCCATCACAAAGTAACCCATACCAACAACCACAACAGCAAGCCAGGAGATTGGATCCAGACCAAATGCCTAGTCCAGTAATTATAATTCATTATTAATTTTGATGATAATTTAATATTTTTAGGTATTAATTTTGTTCATAGATTGAGATTATATTTTATTTCGAAAATGCTATGAAAATATATTACTAGAATTCTATAAAATTTACCAGTTAGAAATTTAGAGTGAATGAGAATTTACAAATATGGTCATGGTATATTTATATTAAAGGTTAAATTGTTTTGTGACAGATTCAAGTAACTAATGATGATCAGAAGACGAGGGGTGGTGTTTTTGCCACAGATCAAAAAGGAGCAGTTCCTCCACTTGTAACAACAAATTTCATTGTTCAAGACCAAGGAAATGCCAGTCCTAGATATATTAGATCATCAATGTATAATGTTGCTACAACATCTGATATGATGAAGCAAACGTCTGTACCTTTCGGTTTAATTATTAGTCCATTTGCTAAAACTTTGGAACAGGAACTTGTTCCACCAATAGTGAATCTAGGAGAACTAGGACCAGTCAGATGTATTAGATGTAAAGCATACATGTGTCCTTTTATGCAATTTATTGATTCTGGAAGAAGATTTCAATGTTTATTCTGCAAAGCCACAACGGAAGGTATTTTTTATAATTAATATATTCATACTATTTATTTATATATTAATGTAATACAACCAGAATTGCCATTAAGCCATATATTATTTGCTTATGATGATCTTATTTCAAACCAGCTTTACACATCTTATTGCTTGTTTTATATGTAGTTAAACACAATTCCTTTAATAATTACATAAGATTTTTTTGTATTCTAGTTCCAAATGAGTATTTTCAACATCTGGACCAATATGGTTTGAGGATGGATAGGTATGAAAGGCCAGAATTAATGCTAGGAACTTATGAATTTGTTGCTACTAAGGATTATTGCCGAGTTAGTTTTTACACAAAATTTTTAATTTTATGTGTATAAATATAAATATGATGAGAACTATTTATTTTTATAGAATAATCAATTTCCTAAACCGCCAGCAGTAATATTTCTTATTGATGTCTCATACAATAATATAAAATCTGGATTAGTAAACCTATTATGTTCTGAAATGAAAAATATTATTAAAAATTTGCCTACTGATCAGGGACAAAGCAAATCTAATATGAAAGTTGGATTCATCACTTACAATAACACTGTTCACTTTTATAATATAAAGGTATGCACTTGCTTTACTTTACTGCCTATCATTGGCAGCTTATTTTACCACTTAATAATGAATGTTTATATTAACAATTTATTATTTTATAAGTCAACATTAGCCCAGCCTCAAATGTTAGTAGTGGGTGATATCCAAGAAATGTTTATGCCTTTGCTGGATGGGTTTTTATGTGATCCCGAGGAATCAGATGTGGTTATTGATACATTGATGCAACAAATTCCAGCTATGTTTGCTAGCACAAGAGAAACAGAAACATTATTAGCACCTGCCATAGAAGCCGGATTAGCAGCTTTGAAGGCCTCAGAATGTACAGGAAAGTTACTTTTATTCCATTCAACTTTGCCTGTGGCTGATGCACCAGGAAAACTTAAAAATAGGGATGATAGAAAACTTTTAGGAACAGACAAAGAAAAATCTATATTAAGTGAGTATATATTGAATTAAGAATTTGCTTAATGTTCCCATGATTTTCTTTTGACTGGTTTTTATGATAAAACATGATTTTATCTTTATATTTAGCCCCACAATGTAATGATTATACAAAACTTGGTCAAGAGTGTGTTTCTGCAGGTTGCAGTGTTGATCTGTTTCTCTTTAATAATAGTTACATTGACATTGCAACAATTGGTCAGGTGTCCAGAATAACTGGAGGAGAAGTTTACAAGTATACTTATTTTTTGGTAAGTGATTTAATATTTTAGTGACATATTTATTTGATGACACTGTTTTTTATGTAGGCGGATATGGATGGACAACGACTTATTACAGATATTGTTCATAATATATCTAGGCCTGTTGCTTTTGATGCGATTATGAGGGTTCGAACTTCCACTGGAATTCGACCAACTGATTTCTTTGGTCACTTTTACATGCCTAATACTACAGATATGGAATTAGCAAGCATAGGTAATACATGTCAGAAAAACTTCATGAATTAACTTTTTTTTTAATTAATGAGATGTAGATAGTGAACTTTTAAATTTGTTTATAAATTTTTTATTGAAAAATGAATGGTTTCAAAATATTTAGGAAAGATTGAAATTGAGATTTTTTGAATTATTTTGATGAAATATTCTTATAATTTGATGAAGGTCTTTTACAAGTTGTTTTGATTCAATTACTTTTAGATTGTGACAAGGCAATTGCCATAGAAATAAAACATGATGATAAGCTGTCTGAAGAAGAAGGCGTTTATATACAGGTTGCACTTTTATACACATCTTGTGGTGGTCAAAGACGGTTAAGAATTATAAACCTTTCTTTGAAAACTTGTTCTCAAATGACTGATTTATACAGAAGTTGTGATTTGGATACAGTAATCAACTATTTTGCTAAACAAGGTAACTTAACAAAACAGAAATTTTTGGTTGTTTGATTTTATGATTCAGGTGTGTTTCAACAACAGTGATGAACATACAGCCTCCTAGGAACTTTATCATTTTTTATCAAAACTGGTTCATACTTTTAGGCAATTGTCAATCTAATTGCACTCTTGCATTGACTTGAAGATTTCCTATCCAAGCTGTTGCTTTTATATGTATAACTCAACTCAATATACAACACATTGTCTTAAATATGTTTCATTTGTTATTTTAGCAATGATCAAAATGTTGGATAGCACTCCTAAAGCATATAAAGAGGACTTAGTAAATCGATGTGCACAGATATTAGCTTGTTATCGTAAAAATTGTGCATCTCCATCTTCTGCAGGACAACTTATACTGCCTGAGTGTATGAAACTTCTTCCATTGTATATGAATTGCTTACTGAAGAGTGATGCATTGTCAGGAGGTATTAACTAATCTATTATTATATATTTATTTGTTCCAATCTGATTTAATATCATCAAAAAACAACATTGATTTCAGGTGCAGATATGACAATAGATGATAGATCCTTTGTGATGCAAGCTGTAATGACTATGGATTTGCCTTCATCGGTAGCTTATTTCTATCCACGATTAATATCTTTGCATGATTTATCTATTCAAGATACCAACATACCATCTCCAATAAGATGTTCTATTGATAAAATGACTGATGATGGTGCATATTTACTAGGTATTATGGCATTTTATTAACATATTGCAGATACACAAACATACAAACATGCACATATATATATATATATATATATATATATATATACACACACACACATATAAATTTTTACTTACTTGATTTGTAGAAAATGGTATTCATATGTTCCTTTGGTTGGGACTTGGTTTAAGTCCAGAATGGGTACAAGCTGTATTTGGTGTCCCAACTTGTGCACAAATTGATACAGATAAAGTTGCATTACCAATTCTTGAGAACCCAATTTCAGAGCGTGTACGAAATGTAGTAAATAATGTCAGGAAGCAAAGACATCGCTGCATGAGAGTAAGATAAATGAATTATATTTGTTATTATATACAAGTATTGTAATTTGTTAAAGTGTATCTTGATTTATTTAGTATTAACTAATTGTATTTTTGTTACAGCTTACCTTAGTAAGGCAAAGAGATAAACTAGAGCCTGTTTGCAAGCATTTCTTAGTGGAAGACCGTGGAACTGATGGTTCTTCAAGCTATGTTGATTTTCTATGTCATATGCACAAGGAAATTCGCATGCTTTTGAGCTAACCACTGATTGTTGTCTTATGTATATATGTATATGTATATAATACATATATGCATGTATTATGTATATTATACTATAGACATTTTTATGTTTATACGGATATAAACATATGTATGATATAATACATTATATACACATACACTATTATTTGTTGTCCACATTATTAGTTTATTTCGTTTTATTTTTTCAGAATTTTAAAAAATTGTATTTTAGTACAATATTTAAATTTATTATGTATGCTTAATCATCATTTCTTTGGTATCTGTATTATAAATTATAAAATATAAATATATTGATTCTATGAAGAGTTTCCATTTCACTGGTTTAAAATAATTTTATTATAACTTCAAAGCATACAAAAACAATAAATAAATAAAATTAATTATAAATGTTAACAAATTGTGTCAACTAATGCAGTGCTGTGAGTTCTCTTCTGTCAGATAATGAAACTATTTTGAAGAATATCTGTAATGTATGAAGTTAGTGTACAATAAATAATTATTATTACTCAAAAAGCAAAAAACTAGTTAAATTGTATATATCAGATTTATTGTTTTCATATACATAACGAGATTGGTGAATGAAAACTCACACAATTATAAGAATGTAAGTATGAATTATATATAAATTTCTCGAAGGTAATCGACTCATTCAGAAATCACTTGATATATTCTTAATATTAAATAAAATATAGTCTTCTAATAGTTTGCCAAATATCTCAGCTCATAGGTTTATCGGCATTTGCCCTTTCTGTATGCAACAGTAAGGATTTTATTAATTAGTCTTTCATAAATCAAGTCTCAATAGAGTACTTAATTTGTGATGATATCGCAGCCCCAATTACATATATTATTTTAACAAAAAGAGCTATGAAATATAAAAAATACACAAAACAGTTGAATCAAGGCTCTCTATCACATCTTACAATTATAACTTTATACAATTCACTCAGGTTCGTTTTGCAATCAGGTCCATTGAATTTGAAAAGACCAAACAGCATTTAAATATACAGAGATATAATTTATATAGAACTTTAGATATCTGTTATACGATAAATTAACAAAATGATCCATATCAATTCTATGGAAATACTTTAAATAAATAAAAATTAAACATATATATATGAAAAAAAAAAAACAGAAGATGTTGCCTGAAACTAAAAATACATTGAAAAATGAATACAGGTAGCAGTTTGGAACTGCAATCATCTCTGCTATTTCTATATTAATTAGATTCTATACACTCTGTTTTATTAGCCTTGTTTCCACCAGATGTGCTATTCTGAAAACCGGGTGGCATTGAAATCTGATATTTATGTATATCGCTATTCAATGTAGAATTTGCATAAAAGCTTTGCTCCGAATTATGCCACTGATTTTGCAGTGACATAGGCATAGACATATTAACATTATGATGACCTATATTGTACGAATCCGTATTTATAATATTAGAGTTCATATTTGAATGCTGAGGTGTCCCCATTAGAGCATTATGATTATGGATTTGATTATTACCAAAGTGCCCAAACTGCCCATTTGATGGGTGTGGAGCATGAATACTGTTCATTGAATTTAAAGCATGAGTTAGTTGCTGTGTTTGGTTTTGTTGCTGGCTCACATTGCTATTGGTATACAGTGATTTTTGGCCAAGGAATAATCCATCATTAGCATCATGTTTATCTATCAAACTGTGACCAAAGTTTCTAGAAGTACTCATTATAGCTGGGTCCAAAGTTGTCCAATCAGGAACCATGTTCATACCTTAAACAAAGAAATTACTTATTATATCATACATAAAGTAAAAGAAAGTAATCAGGTTTAATTTATAATATATGATGATAGTTTTTTCGTCGTTGATACATATTTGTAATATTTTTACAGCCCAATCGTCGAATTAAAAAAAAAGAATAAATAACAAAATTATTTATTCCATTAAAAGTTTGATTACTGAATGATGACACACATCAAGTGTCGAAACGTTTAATGGAATAAATAATTTTGTTATTTAATCTTTTTTTTAATTCGACGATTGGGCTGCAAAAATATTACAAATATATATTTATATATATAATATATGGTTTCTGCAATTTCTTATTATTTGTTTTAAAATTTAAGTAATATTAATTGAGCCATGGATTTTGAAAGAGGCCTGACTTCGTTTTTAAATTTTTTCTGGTATTCATGGCTATGCAACACAACTTTGTTATTTGTAAAGCATTTCAGGTTGCTTATAATCTGATAAGTTTCCGTAGTTAGTTTAATAAACAAATCGTGTAGTTTGAAAATGGCCTAACTCCATTTATACATAGATAATAAAGATAATGTATACCATTATAAAATTTACTATTATTGTCATAAAGCACTGATTTAAGTTAACCTCAGTTTTTGGGCAATTGTTTCAGTTGAATAATCAGTACTTTTAATTAATATAAAACTTAAAATTTATTATAAAATTTTAGAAATAATTTCAACCATGGAAAAAAACGTAACAAGACTATTATTTAGTTCAGATAGATAGTGAAAAAGAAAAAGTAAGTAAGGATTTTAAAAAATGTCAAGTCCTGAATTTATTTACAAAAAAGACCAAAATATATAAAAAAATATGATATTAACACCACTGTATAAAAAATATCAGACAAATTACAACAGCAAAATTCAAAGAAATAATAGAATTATTACGATATATTTCACCGGAACATCATTATTACTTCCAATATGTAGATGAGTATACGCCCAAAATGTAGATAAGTAGTAAATTGTTTTGTTGCAATTTTTTTGTTTGTAATTTTGCATGTTATGAAGTATTTTAACGATATCTAAAATAAATTCATTATTTGTTTTTTCAATTTGAGGCATCTATCTTAAATAATGTTGAATGGACTTGGCACCTTCAACTTTTATGTTGAATCTGATTGTTAATTTTGAAAATAACCTAACCTCATTCTTGATACAAAAACGCATATTATTCACTTAATAATTGCCACTCTTTTAGGAACTATAAAAACCCTTAGATACACTTAAGCAGTACGACTGATTAATGTCCTAAACATATATTTTTAAATTCATTGAAATGCAAAGCCTTAAATATCTCAATCTTAAGATGAATGGACTTAGGCCACTTTCACAATAAACAGCTCAATCGTAGTTATGATTAAATGCAGTTTGCTTTGAATGTTTAAATACCTCAACACCCTATAGGATGAGTTATTAAAATAATTTTACAGATAAAATATTTGGGAAGCAGCTATTGAAGGCCAAAAAAATAAGTATTATATATTTACAGTATATTGTAGTGTAATCCCACAAGTATATGTATTGTGGGATTTTAGACCATTAGTTTGTCCAGTTTAATAACAATGGCAATTCACAAATAATTAATTAAGGTTATTTTCCTTAAAAATCTAGTTAAAATACACTAACTGTATTAGTTTATATACCTTTAATATGTTGTTGGTGTTGTGACAAAGGAAGAGGTGCTGAAGAATTTTGCATTTGTTGCTGATATGACATTGAACCCCAATTAGCAGATGGTGTGTTGTTTACATTTAAGTGAGGTAGAGCTTTGTTGCCTGCTATATTTTTAAAAAGTTAAATCAAATCATATTATAAAATTTATTGTTTATGGTGACAATGAAAAAAAAAATCAACCTTGTTGTGCACGAGGTACTCCAATTCCAAAAGCATTCATATGTGAAAAACCTGGTGGTGGCAATCGAGTTCTCTGACTAAGATTTTCTCCATATTTATTATGCCCTCTGAAAAATAGTATTAGAGTTAGGTTCTGTATTACAAATTTATGTATAAAATAACATATTATAATTACCGATTGGAGTTTTGTTGAAGAACCATTTCGCTCTCCATTAATGCAAATGCTTTCTGAGTCTCTTGGAAGGGATCAAAACCTATATTAATATGAACAAATTAATAATAGTTTTAAATGAGACTGATGAAAATAAAATAACATCTGCAATACCTAAATCATCATCAGATGATGTATGGCAATGGTTATTCGATCTGAAGGAAGGTAAGTGATTAGAATATTGCACATTTGAGTTGGTAGAGTTAAATGAGGATATATTTTGTTGATTCACGTGGTTTTGTGCGTTGATATGGCTATGTAGATCAGAGAACTTTGATTCAGCAAGGTTTACAGGAGGTCTTTGAGCATTCAACATAGAATTGTAATACTCTATGTATTCTCGTGGATGATGACTATCAAGTTGATTAGAATTCTGATTAGGAGATTCACCACAACCATTGTTCATAAATAATGGCTGTTGTACTTCTGGATTAGTACTTTCAAGAAATTTCTCAAGATATTTGGAATTTCCTTTGTAATAATCAGTTAAAAATTGTGAAACAGAATTTGAAACTCTATGTGGCTCATATAATTTATTGTCTAATAGATGGTGTTCTTCAACATCGGATTGAACATCACTGCTTCCATTTAAATAGTCACCTGGAAAAAGAAATAAATAAATGATCAAAGTTTAACAATAAATAAAATATTTTTCAAAACCACATACCATTTTGATGCAAACCTTGGAAATCTTGTAAATTGGCATGTGTTACGCCATTTGTAAGATGCCCAAGGCCCCTCGGCGACTCTGAATGATACAATCTTTGCTCAATTTGATTTGATGCCGTATTTGGAAATCCAAATGCTGCTTGCCAGTCTTCTGATGAATTGATTAAAGGCAAAAAGTCATTGAGCATGCTCATTTGCCTTGGTGGATTTGAATTTATATTTGTCAACGTTGGTGCATATTCAATGTTATCAGATGTTGCTGAAGAGTTATTATGAATTTCTTTCACTACAGATTTTTCGGCATCCACTCCATTGGTGTCCCCAGCCATTTCAAATGGTGATCGCCCACACAAGGAATCAGGACTCAAACTGTGACTATCTACAGAACTACTGAGTGGCCTTTCAGTATTTAAATATTTCTTATACGACGGAGTAGAAAAGAAACTGTTATTATCATCAAATATTGAGAGTCGGGAGAGGTCTGCTGCAAAAGCAAAATAAAGATTAAAAACATTTCACAATAAATTATCATTGAATAAAATTACCTGTTGCATCATTCAGTACAAAAGGTTTTATAGGATAATTGCTATTTCCATTATTAAGGCTAAGATCTTCACTATTGGTTTTAAAATGTAATTCATTTTCAGTACTTGAATCACTTTTTTGTAAAGGATCATCATTAGGAGAATTAATATCATTGTTAATATGATTGCATGGTTCAGGAGTACTTTCTCCACTGCTTCCACTTTGTAATGAATTACATGAATCTTTATCGGGAGATTTAGAACTAACACTTTTTACTTGTCCATTTGTTTCACTGCACTTTAATTTTGATTTTCCTACTTTAGTATCTTTTGACGACTTACTCTGTTTAGACTGTTTTTCACCTTTTTGTAATTTGTCTGACTTAGCTGCAAGGAAGTAGATTATTGTAAATCTAAATAAAACATTCAAGATAATTAAACTAAATATCAACGCACAATTAATATTCTCCTTTCCCGTTGATTGAGATTTTTTGTCTTTGGCATTATTATATATATTATTGCCACTTGGTGAAATTGTGTTCAAGCTAGGCCATGCTTCTTTACTTTGTGAAGATATTAAAGGTGGCACTGTAGAGCCATTATCAGATGCTAATTGTGTTGGAGAATTATTCTTGTATGTGTTTGAAGTGGAAGTCCCTAAGCCATTACTTGTCGTAACAGATGGAGTACTAAAAGAAATAAAAATTTATTACTCAAAGTAATACGATTTCACTTATTGTTCACACTTATTGAGAAATTTTATTAAAAACTATCAAGAGTATTGAAGTAATAATTAACCCAGTGGTTTCCAACCTTTAAGTAACGTCTCCACCCCGTTCTTTTAAAATAATTGTTGTGCCCCCTTAATTTTTCTAACAATTTCATTTCATAAATGCTCTACTGAAATTGTAGCTTATTTAATGAGCTACAAAATAATACACAAAATTAAGTAAGAATATGCATAAAAAATAATTATGGATATTTCTTATAATGAATTTCAATTAAATTCTATAATAAAACCCTAATTTATATTATAAAAATATAAAAAGTACTAATATTAATGAAATTTAGTACAATTTATGTCCCCAAGTCAAAAATTTAAATACAACTTTCTTTAATAATAAAAGAAAAAGTAATTGTAAAATTATGCAAAAAGGCAAAATTTACATTAATAAATGTAATGTGTACAAACCGGTCGGATTTATTAGCTGTTTGTTGTATCAATGTGTCATGAAGTTTCTTTTCATATTCTTGATGTTTACCAAGATGCATCTCCTCTTTTGTAAAACTGGCATCGGGATCTGCTAAAAAAGGATTTTGATACACATTAAACCAATATTTACATAATTAATTTTGCAAATAATTAACTTATATTAAAAAAGAATATCATAATTAATTATTCTAACCTAGCTCATGAAGATACATGCAGTCTTGCTTTGGACATGGTAAATTCTTCATAAAGTGACTACAGTATTTAGTAGTCCCTAAGCTCGTTTTAATAAGTCTCCCATCCATTGTAATATTGTTTACAGACTGAATAGCTCGTAATGCATCATTATTGTGGGAATATGTAACATATGCACTAGCCGATGGCCCCTAAATAAATTACAATTTAATTATTTGAACAAAAAAAGAATTCTTTTCATAAGATCAACCTGTGGTCCAGCATATGACGTGCTCTGATTAATTACAACCTTCAAGATCTTTCCAAATTTTCCGAAATACTCATGTTTCTTCAGTATCTGAAATTAAAAAGAGTAATCGTTTACAAATCGTTAATGCCAACTTCTATATAATCAATATTGTACTTTAACGCCTTGAAGACCACATCGAAAATCGTGCTTTACTCATGGGGACTGTAACAATGACAGTCTATTCCAGATAACACACATCTTTTGTCCAACGGTGGCCACGCGATCCGGTCATGTTAGTACATTGTGTACCACCGGTAGACATGTAGTCTTCAACGTGTTAAATAATCAATATTACACATTTGGCAACAAATTTAAAATAAAACGTGTTCTTTGAAGCATCAATCCGTAAAATGAGTAAGCATTTATACAAACGCCTCAAGTAAATAACCATATTTTTCAATTATCAAAAAGTAGATTATCACATCTAATGAAAAAATACTTTGAATGAAATACATTTCAAAGAATTACTGATATTTATATTAGGTTGTCAAATATCTCCCTTCCGCTTTTTTGCTCTTGGTTTATAATACAAAAAGGCGAAAGGGAGATATTTGACAACCTATTATAAAATGAAACTGTTTGTGTGAAACATGATTATTTCATATCTGCTGTATTAACATAGATACTAATAAATTTTAATCTACACTAATTTTAAAACTGACTTATATTTTAAAGTATTTGTGCACTTAGCATATTTAATAAGTAAGAATTCAGACTTACTTCAGAATCTGCCAACCTCATGGGCAGCCCAACAACAAATACTAAATTCTTTTGTAATACCCTAACATTAGCTAAATGCTTTCTATTCTCATATATCTTTTGCTTCCGTTGTTGATCTTGATGTCTTTTCTTAGCTTTAAGGGCTGCTATCTATAAAAATAATTAATACCGTTACATAATATTTATAACAACACAATAAAAATATAACTATATATATTTATATATATATATATATATATAATAAATATATAATAAATATAATTATAGTGATGCTTAATTTCAATAGCTTTTACATATAAAAAATATATACAATAAAAATAAATTTCTATATAAACGGTCTTGATAAGTAATGCAAAATTCCTAATACAACATCAATATTTACTTGTTGTTGTGATAAGGGTGTAAAATCTGCAGGATTTTCAGGATAAGCTTTCCTACATGCTGGACATAATCCGTTACCATCTGTTCGAAGTCTGTGCCAACAAAATCGGCATATCTGAAAAAGCAATCACGAAACAATCAACACCATAAAGTTATTTTTATATGACAAAATCACTAACCTGGTACAAGCATGTACAAGGATAGAATGTCACATCGTCCACTTCCAACACTTCTAAACACAAGGGACATTCCTTAACATCATCTCCCACCATATTCAACATAGACATCTTTCTAATGGTTTTTTGTTTAAACACAGCAATGATTGCGGGAAGAAAATATCAATTCCGAAATTTACAAAAAACTTCCGACAATTGCCCACAATTGTTCAGATGTTAACCTGAAAAAGCATCAAATGTAACATTAGCAATACCTCTCAACTATCGATATTATTAAACATTGTCATTAACTCGAAAAACATTTAACTATTTAGAGTTAATAATCAGTCACTGGCATACTATAAGTTCAGTGACTAATCCCAACTCGTTTTGAAGAAAACAAATTGAATATATATCGAGTATGAACTTTTATTGTTCAACTGTCACTCAATATGCCATGTTGTAAATCCATACTCTATTTACGTGCGATCAAATAATTTGGCAATTTTAGAAACATTCACTTGTTTCACATAGGGCAAATAGACAATTTCGTCCTGTATCTAATACTATTTCTAAAATCACTCTTTTCATTACGCACCTATAAAGATTTATGCAACTTGTCTCGCAAGTCAAATGCACGACACAGATAATTCATAGAAAATAATGACTTTCTGTATTTCCGAACAATATTCACAAACTGCACAATCAACTCATTGATATAAATTCGTTTCGAATAATTAACCATTAAATTCACTAAAATATGTCAAAAATCAATGTTTACTTACGTATATCTAAGCACTATACGAAAAGCACTATTGCCCTATTATAGAGAGTTAATGTCGACCGTATCCGGGTGCAGCGCTCAAGTAGTTCGAACGCGAAATATTACAAATTACAATAGACGTACCTTTGTCGGTTAAGACACAACATTCAATAATCATATCATAACATTGTTACAATAATAATAATAATAAGTATTAAGTGGCCAAATCGTCAAATGAAAAAAAGAAAATAATATTTTATTTTCCTTGAGGCAAATTGCAGGAATTTCCCGTACCGTAACGAAATTTTCCAGGAATGTTAAATGTTTTCATATAGATTATTATAAATACTGTAACTTTGTCTAATATTTATAAGAGTTATATAAACTGAATTACAAAGTTAAAATTATTTACTTAAAGCATATGAGTGATGTTTAGAACTTTAGCCAGAATTAAAACTAAAATCTGAATTATTTTTGGTAGGCAAAAAAAATTTATGTTTGAAAACAAGATTTGTGAGAAAAAAAATTGTAAAAAAAATTATGATTTTTTTTCTTCTAAAAGCAATTATTTTGTAAAAACAAACAGAAAGTTTTTTTAATCATTCAAATCGGATGCTTAGTTCTCTCAAAAACTGCAATTTTTTGCACATTTACCTCGGTATCTCCGAAACGGCTTAACCTGCCTTTGCCAAAAACTAATCAGCACATTTTCCTATCAATAGGAATCGAATGTTTTTTAAACCATTCAAATCGGTTGATCAGTGAGCCCGAAAACGTGGACGAAAAATTGTATCCATACATACATGCACACACACACCATGTATGCCAAAATGTTCAGAAACCTTCAAAACGTGAAGAAATGTAAAAATTTTCAATTTCGATTTTTGGACGATTACAATAACTTACCCTACGAGAAGTTAAAAAAATTAAAATAGCCTAAAGTATTTACACAAACCAAAATTTTGTTTTCCCAAAGTTTTTAGGATGTTATTTATTAGTTCTTTTTATTTTAAAATTGTATACAACTAAATATAGTTGGTTTCATTGTTTTTTTGTTAATTAAAATTTTCAATTAAAAACTGTTTTAGTTTTGTGTATTGGTTTTTCTTGGTTTGATTTATTGAATGACGACACATATCTGGAGCCAAAACTGTTTAAATAAACAAGTAAAAATAGTAATTCCATTTCTTTAATTCGACGAAGTAGCTGCCAATTATATCAAATATATATATATATATATATATATATATATATAAATATATAATTTTCATTCCTCGGTTGCATTACTATAATTGTGGTGCTTAACACGTTAGCTGCCGTGGCAATTTTAAAAAATCTGGCCAAAAATGACAATTATATTTAATCGTATTATATTATTAAAAACTCTATTTCTAGAGCATAATTTACATCAAAACTACAAAAAGATTATTTACAATAATTAAAATAATATTTTATCTCTACGATATATGTATTTGGCGTACAAGAGAACATCGCAATCTACGAGTTATCGCATAGTTGGCAGTCAACGTGTTAATGTATATGGTCATATATAATACATATTATCAAGTGATGAAAATATATGAGAAACTATATTGTCTACGATAATATACTATGTTATTTACTATGATTCAAACTTCAGCCATCCCATTTTTGTACACCCGCGTTATGCAAAGGTTTGAAAAAGCTTCGAGATCAAAGCAACTTGTAAAAATATTTCTTCACTAAAAACTATTAAAGTAAACTTTTTGAAAGTGTTAGTTGAGAATACATATTTTCTAAAAAAAAGTTCGAAATTATGTGGAAGACGACACTATAACCACAGGTGAAAGATTTATAATGATAATTAATCTTATATCCTCTGCATTTTGTTCGTTTAATACAATCCGTCCATTGTCACATCTTTAAAAACATCACACATTTGTGTACCAATATTTTATAAATGGTAGGAAATATATTGCCTGTTGTTTAAACAAAATGCATCGAATGTTTAAGAGTGCAGGTAACAATAGCTTTGTCAAAAATAACAATAGAAGACAACAATGAATTTTATATGAAACTATATATCCCGATTTTTTTGCAACAAATATGGACAGATAGATACATATTCCATAAAAACAGGTAATTAAAAAATAATTTGTTATTACAATTAAATATAAATTTATAAACAGCGAGACGTATTACTTCTTTTTATCAACTTTAATTCTTGATTCTTTGAAGCTTAAAGAATGATTTTTTTATTAAATTTTCATTACAAAACTTAATATTTTTATTAGCCCTAGTAATTTAATAACCTTTTTCATTAATATGTAATATTCTATTTTCTTAAATAATTTTTGTGGTGAGATTTCTAAATTTATTTCAATTTATTTATCTTTGCAATCTATTGATGATTGTTTTCACATTTTCTAATTGTGCGTTTATTATTTTTTCAACATTATTTATTCCATATAATTTAATTTATTTTTCTGTCGATTACAGTACAAATTTTAGACATTTATTACATTTTTTTATCCACTGAAGCAGAATCAAACTATGATACAAATGTATGGAAGACTTATTAATTTTTCTTAAATATAACTATTTAACTATTTAACTATTTAAACATAACTATTTTTCATTAATAATTGGACTTGTATAAAAAATATTTTGTTTACTATTGTATATATATATATATATATATATATATATATATATATATATATATATGTGTGTGTGTGTGTGTGTGTATGTAATTTTCTCGTTGTTTATTGTGGTAGATAAATTTGAGAACTTTTAATTGCTTTATGTTTTATTTATAATACCAACCAATCCAAATATTTATTTCATAAATAAATAATTTGTATTACTGTGGTCACGCCATATATTAGCTATAGAATTAAATCATAACTATTTCAACATTTTATTAACCAGTATTTTTATGGGCTCGCCCGTAGGTAAGCGGTTAAGAGCGACGGGACCTGAATCCGAGGTCCTGGGTTCGGTACCCACTTCGAGCAGCGTGTTGTCAGGCAGCAGTGACAACGATTTTCACTTAGAAATGTAGATAGCAATATATTTCCAAGTGAAAATAGCCCTGGCATTGCTGCACCAATAAATAGACAGCCCTATTAGATTAAATCTAATAACAAAAAATCATCAAATATGGATGGATTACCATCTACAGCTCATAGGACGTAAGGTTCTGATTGCCGTTAAAATATATTATAAAAAAAAGTATTTTTTAAAAATTTTAAGCCTCGCTTTTTTCAGTCAAAGAAAACGTTAAATTATTTTTCCGCACTACAGTTAAACTAACGTATGAGTGAATAAGATTTATTGCTAATCAAATGATGACAAAAATTACACAAATTTTAAAAAAATTAAAGACTTGAATTTTGATGAATTAAAGGCCCCCTTGAAGCGCGAGGCCATCGCCTAACGCCGTCACTACTTTCTTCAAAAGATGGTTATAATAAAAATGATAATAAAAAATAATATGATTAGTTTACCATGTTATTAAATTAAGAATTTTTGATAAGTATTATATTATGACTTCGAAAAACGATGAGTGTCATATGTTTTAAAAATAAAAAACATTGTTTTGCATTCATATCGAATCTTATCGGGTGCATTCATACACAGTATGAAACCGTTTAGAAATGAAATATCTGAACAGATAATACGCGGGATATGTTTATAAATAAAACGCTTTTTTACTTATTGTTGGTTATAATACTTTGTGAGAAATTATCACTGAATATTTCATGATAATTGTAAATAAACTATTCTCTCATGCATTATTTCATTTTGAATCATTTTGAAAAACATACACTTCAATATTTCTTGTTTATTTTTTAACTTTCTGAAGCAGAAATTTGTTTTCGCTAGAAAATTTGATTTTCTCATTTTATGTTTTCTCGACGTTTTAGAGCATTCTGAATGTTTCGAGACCAAAATTGAAAAAAACATGGGTGTGTGTGTATGTAAGGCAAAGTTTGACCTTTCGTTGACGTTTTATCAAAAACGGTTGTACCGATTGCAAAAATCCTGAACCCATTTTAAAAATGCCGTTTTTTGTAATTTATTGACAATTTTAATGAATCTATCCATAGTAATAAGAGTTCATGGTCAAATCCATTAATTAATTATATTATATTAATCAATTATTATATTGTCTATAGGGTCTAATCGGACATCCTTAAATAGGCATATAATATGCCTACGAAAAATCAATAAAGTTTAGAATTTTCTAAATAAAAGTAAATTTGTAAATTTTATCGTCATATACTAATTGGGAACTTTATGCAATTCGCAAAACAAAATGCCACTTATACCTAGTTTTATCGCTATTAGCATGACCCACTTATTTTATTCTTATTACACAAAATTTGTTATTTTTATTGAAATTTGATCATATGATTTTTCACATTCACATTCCACATTAATAGTAAATAGTTAAATAGTAAATAGTTAATAGTAAATAGTGATAAGTGAATAGTTAAAAGTAAATAGTGAATAGTTAATAGTAAATAGTGAATAGTGATAAGTGAATAGTTAATAGTTAATAGTAAATAGTTAATTAGTTAAGAATGAACAGTTAAATAGTAAATAGTTATATAGTTAACAGTTAAATAGTTAATTGTAAATAGTTAAATAGTGAATAGTTAATAGTTAAATAGTTAATAGTATATAGTTGAATAATTAAATAGTTAGTAGTAAATAGTTAAATAATTAAATAGTGAATAGTTAATAGCAAAAAGTGAATAGAAATAAGAGAATAGTTAATAGTTAATTAGTTAACAGTAAATAGTTAAATAGTAAATAGTTAAATAGTTAACAGTTAAATAGTTAATTGTAAATAGTTAAATAGTGAATAGTTAATAGTTAACTAGTATATAGTTGAATAATTAAATAGTTAGTAGTAAATAGTTAAATAGTTAAATAGTGAATAGTTAATAGTAAATAGTGAATGGAGATAAGATAATAGTTAACAGTAAAGAGTTAAATAGTAAAATCGTGAATAGTGAATAGTTAATAGTAAATAGTAAATAGAGATAAGAGAATAGTTAAACAGTTAATAGTTGAATAGTGAAAAGTGAATTAGTGGATAGTGAATAGTTGAATAGTGAATAGTTAATAGTAAATAGTAAATAGTGAATAGTGACAAGTGAATAGTTAATATTAAATAGTGAATTGTGAATAGATATAAGTGAATAGTTACATAGTTAAATAGTTAATAGATAAATAGTTATATAGTTAATAGTAAATAGTTAAATAGTTAAATAGTTAAATAGTGAATAGAGATAAGAAAATAGTTAAATAGTTTATAGTAAAATAGTGGATAGTGAATATTTAAATAGCGAATAGTTAAATAGTGAACAGTGAATAGTTAATAGTAAATAGTGAATAGTGAATAGAGATAAGTGAATAGTTAAACAGCTAAATAGTTTATAGTTAGTTAAATAGTGAATAATAAAATAGTGGATAGTGAATAGTTAAATTGTGAATAGTTAATATTTAATAGTTAATAGTTAATAGTTAATAGTAAATAGTGATGAGTGAATAGTTAATAATAAATAGTAAATAGTTAATAGAGATAAGTGAATAGTTAAATAGTTAATTAGTAAATAGTGAATAGAGATAAGAGAATAGTTAAATAACTAAATAGTTAATAGTTAAATAGTGAAATAGTTAAATAGTAAAATAGTGGATAGTAAGTAGTTGAGTAGTTGAATAGTGATAATTGAATAGTTAATAGTTAATATATTAACTTTATTGTTATATTATCAGTATAATTATTTTTTCTCAATTTATTTTTGTATTTCGGCCAATGGGCCGTTAAAATTTATATATATATATATATATATATATATATATATATATATATATCAGATTTTTAATGTTAAAAGTTACATTTAGACTTCAACTACATAAAAAATGGCGGCTTGCTGAAAAGGTTTTTTATCCCTCGGACACCGAACCGACAACAGAATATTTTAAATAGTTACACATATATGTAATAAGTTTATATATGCTGTAAAGATAACAAACAGTTTTGATTATAGTCTATATAGTTTATATCTATAGTAATCTATAATCCAAATTGTGCAAAAAGTCAATTTATTGGTTTTAGGTTAGATGTTTTTCTAGATAAAAAATTTTCATTGGTAACTATAATAGTTAATCCTCCAAATATGTGTGTGCATATGTGCTTAAGCTTATAAATCTTTTCAATTATATACAATGAATAATATCATGTTTATTTTGACTATTTCGTTCATATGTACTGTACCAAGCAAAAAAGCAAAATATTGAAAATCTAATGTCAAAGCATACCTTGTTAACAAAATCACAGTCGCTACCCGTAATTTTAGAAATTAAGGAAAACTTCCAAAAATTTTCCAAAATTCTATTAAAAAATGAGAAAACTCGACTTGGAACTACTTTTCTAACAATTTCTCGTTATTAATGCTCTATTTTAACACATTATTTGTTAAAGAAAACTTTTTGATTAAAAATTTTATTTCTAAAGAATTATCATGGCCGAACTGCCAGTTTACCACACCTGAAAAAAAAATTAACTCTTTGTTCTTTCTCCATGACAATGTTGCCATAAATGAGGTAAGAAAATTTTTATAAAAGATATAATGAATAAATATATATTCGATATTTGATTTTTTATGTTTAAAGGTAAATTTAGACTTTAACTGAATTATTATAAAAAAAACATAATATATGTATGTAAACGAAACGAAGCTGAAAAGGTTTTTCATCCCTTGGACACTGAACCGGCAAAAGAATATTTCAAACAGTTATACATATATGTATAATAATAAGTAAATTATATGCTGTGAAGATAACAAAATTTTTACTTTATAGTCTATATGGTTTATATCTATATTATTCTATAGTCCAAATTGTGCAAAAATCTATTTATTGGTTTTAGCTTATATTTTTTTAAGTTAATTTTTTTATTTGTAACTATTATGCATACGTGCATAATCTTATATTTTGTGATTATATATATATATATATATATATAAATTATGTCATATATATTACATATAAATTATGTCATATTTATTTTGGCTATTTGATTTATATGTAATTCATCAAGCAAAAAAGGAAAACATTGAAAAGCTAATGTGAAAGCAAAAAGCATACCTTGTCACCAAAGGCACAGGGGCTATCGGTAATTTTATAAAATAAGGAATTTTTCTACAAATTTTCTAAAACTCGGTTAAATCATGAAAAAAAGCCGACTTGGAACTACTTTTTCGGATATTGCCCGTTATTAACACACCATTTTATAGATTATTCGTTAAAGAAAACTTTTCGATCTCTAAAAACTTTTCGATCTTTATTCTAAAAAAATATAATGGCTGAATTGATAGTTTTCCACACCTGGAGTAAAAATTTCATTATTCGTTCTCTGTGGCAATGTTGCCACAAAGGATTTTTGCAAATATGTGTGTGCATATGCGTATAAGCTTTTAAATCCTTTTTAATTATATACAACGAATAATATCATATTTATTTAGACTATTTGACCCATATGTAATGTACTATGCAAAAAAGGCAAACATTAAAAAGCTAATATGAAAGCATACCTTGTTAACAAAATCGCAATTGCCACCCGTAATTTTAGAAATTGTGAAAACCTTCTACAAATTTTCTAAAATTTCATTAAAAATGGGAAACGCCGACTTGGAACTACTTTTCCTGCTACTTTTCGTTATTAACACACTATTTTAATAAATTATTCGTTAAAGAAAACTTTTCAATAAAAACCGACATTATATTCTAAAAAAATAAGATGGTTGAATTGACAGTTTTCCACACCTGAAGTGAAAATTTCATTATTTGAGCTCTGAGGCAATGTTGCCACCGTTGCCACAAATGATGCAAGTAAAATTTTTGCAAATATATGTGTGCATATGTGGATAAGCTTTTAAATCTTTTTTAATTATATATAATGAATAATATCATATTTATTAAGACTATTTGATCCATATGTAATAGACTATGCAAAAAAGGAAAACATTGAAAAGCTAATGTGAAGGCATACCTTGTTAACAAAATCGCAGTAGCTGCCTGTAATTTTAGAAAACAATAAATCCTTCTACAATTTTCCTAAAATTTCATTAAAAATGAAAAAAGCCGACTTAGAACTACTTTTTCAGCTATTTTCAGTTATTAACACACTATTTTAATAGATTATTCGTTAAAGAAAAGTTTTCGATCAAAACTGATATTATATTCTAAAATAATATAATGGCTGAATTGACAGTTTTCCACACCTGGAGTGAAAATTTCATTATTCGTTCTCTGTGACAGTGTTGCCACAAATGATTTTTACAAATATGTGTGTGCAATGTGTATAAGCTTTTAAATCTTTTTTAATTATATATAATAAATAATATCATATTTATTTAAACTATTTGGTTCATATACATATGTACTATGCAAAAAAGTCAAACATTGAAAAGCTAATGTGAAAGCATACCTTGTTAACAAAATCGCAATTGCTACCCGTAATTTTAGAAATTGAGAAAACCTTCTACATTTTTTTTAAAATTCCATTAAAAATGGGAAACGCCGACTTGGAACTACTTTTCCTGCTAGTTTTCGTTATTAACACACTATTTTAATAGATTATTCGTTAAAGAAAACTTTTCGACAAAAACCGACATTATATTCTAAAAAAAATATGATGGCTGAATTGACAGTTTTCCACACCTGGATTGAAAATTTCATTCTTCGTTCTTTGTGGCAATGTTGCCATAAGTGATGCAAGTAATATTTTTATAAATATGTGTGTGCATATGTGTATAAGCTTTTAAATCTTTTTTAATTATATATAATGAATAATAACATATTTATTTAGACTATTTGGTCCATATGTAATGTACCAAGCAAAAAAGAAGAAGCATTGAAAGGCCAATGTGAAAGCATACCTTGCTAACAAAATCGCAGTTGCTACCCGTAATTTTAGAAATTGAGAAAACCTTCTACAAATTTTCTAAAATTTCATTAAAAATGGAAAAAGCCGACTTGACACTACTTTTCTAACAATTTTTCGTTATTAATACACTATATTTATAATTTATTCGTTAAAGAAAACTTTTTGATAAAAACTTTGTATTCTAAAGAATGATCATGGCTGAGTTGTCAGTTTTCCACCCCTGGCATAAAAATTTCATTCTTCGTTCTCTATGGCAATGTTGCCATAAATGAGGCAAGTAATATTTTTGGGCAGGACTGTTAATTTTGTTATCAATGATTTTAGAGTAAACATTAGAAGTCTCCAGTAGAAATCTTTCGCTTAGATGTTTGTTGTAATTTGAAATATATTCGAAATCGTAATGTTTTAGTTAGGTATCGTTTTCTCTCACCTCACATGCGCCGAACGACGGAAGTGTAAAAGGCCATCGCCCAAGCATAAAGTGTGTTGATCCGACGGTAAGTGTAAGTAATAACATAAAAATTGGTTTAATGAAATTACTAAGTGTTCGAATGCAAAATTCGCGACTCTAAAAAGATGTGCTAGTGCAAAATTTATGACAAATAACTCCATGTTTTGTGCGTCACTTGATAATTGCGTGGAAAAATCATGGCGTTGTGTCAGCGCTACTGAATACAAGTGGAGTTCCCGTGACTGTTAAATAGAGAATTGAGTTTAAAGTGTAATGCTTTGCAGCATTTTGTATGTTATTGCTACAAAGAATTTTTATCGTGAGTTATTCGAGGTAATAAAATTACACAACTTGTATATTTTGGCTTTATAATCGATCTTTGTGTGAAATGTCATTTTAATTTATTTCTGGGTTAAAAATGTTTCACTTGTGTGTGTATTAATTAATATCAAGCCCCTGCACGTTACACGATTAAATTGATATCGTTTTTCATTTTTAGTTTGCTGTTCGTAACGAATGATCGACAAACTTATTTATAGGTGTGGTATTTGTCTTATCATTTGACAGCAATTTATATGGAATGGCTGTGTAGTGAGAACTTTATTAGCATCCGAAGTAAAAATTTCTATTATTGCATTTAAAACATTTTACGAGCCGCATTACATACATAAAAAAATAGAAAATAACTTACTAAAATATTAGTTCTTCAAGGGCCCGAATCGGAAAACTTTTAATAACAAAGTACATTATTTTTTACACAAAAACTATACCAGTATAAAATGGTTCATTAGCAAATAAAAAAACGCCGAATTCAATTGTTTTCTCTTCAGTAAAATATGTGTAATATTGATGTTCACCTTAATACTAAACTAGAAGATAAAATAAAATAACACAAATTCAACTATTTGATCTTTCTTGAAATATGTGTATTCTTGATGTGCACCTAAATATTGCACTGAAGATGCTCGTTAATAAATACATATTAATAATACAAATATTATGATTTAATTTAAGAGATTGGCAACATTAAATATTAATCACAGTTGTGACTCATAATTAATTAGTAGCATTGCATTGTAAGTCCTTTTATAAGATTTACCAATCTTTATATCTGACATTATGGTAATACACCGTTGCTACTGTTGAATATCCAAGTCTGTCAAATATTCAAGTATCATAAGTTTGAAGAGTTGATTTGATCTCTTTATTTATGTAATACATATTATTATAAATATACATTATTTAGTAAAATATAAACAAAAATTTCAGCTGCTGTTTACTTTTGAAAAATTATGAGTAAAGATATCTTTAAGTTACAATAATAAACAAATTTTTAAACTATGCTATTTACATAAAATTTTTAACTCATATGTTATTCCAGAAGCTTTAAATATCTGAAAACTCCCGTAATGTAGTCAGTCTTACAACATGTATATATTTGTGGCAGTGTGCATGATAGTTTTATCTACAATTGAAAAATTGATCATATGGTCATCATAGTTTTAGATTGAACATGATCAAAATTTAATGCATCAGCACTCAATGCGTATTTTAGGTTCACATGTTGCCTGTTATATACATGTTTGACAATGTTGCGATATTACAGCGTTTTATCTCTTCACTGTGAAGGCTTGCCAAAAATAATAAAACTTAGTAAATGTCATAGCAATATTTATTTTTTAATAAAATGCCATGTGCTTATAGACTTTGGTAAATTAAAGCCAACTACTTTTGAGATTAGTTCGGGCAGTGCAAGTAGAGTTTGATATTGAACTTTGTGGGTTCATGTAATAATAGAATAGCTGGGATATTTTTTTTACACAAATTTATAGTTTATGGATGGAATAGAATGCTGGAAGTTTTTTTTACACAAATTTATAGTTTATGTAGATATAGTAGTATTTTTCAAATACTCAATTTTTAATATTTTTTGCTAAATATATTTATCATACATATTTGTTTTTTAGGTGAAGAATTTATCGTGTAAGGACTCACCATAACCAATATTATAGCAAACTAAAATGCGTGAATACAAGATTGTGGTCTTAGGAAGTGGAGGTGTGGGAAAATCAGCACTTACTGTGCAATTTGTGCAGGTAATAATGTTTATTTTTTTAAGTTATAATTCAACTTACTCAAAACTTTCTTTTATGTGTGTAAACATTTATAAATTTACACATGAACATCATTCTTATCATGTCAGTTTCAAAATTGTCAACAAGTACAATAATATCATTTTTTATTTATATTAGTCTATAGTTATGCTTGTACACATATGTATGCATATGTATATTATAATATATATTTTAAATGTATCACTTTAGGGTATATTTGTTGAAAAATATGATCCAACAATAGAAGACAGTTATAGAAAGCAAGTAGAAGTAGATGGACAGCAATGTATGCTTGAAATATTAGATACTGCAGGAACTGTAAGTCACTAGCAATTTTGTTAGGTAAAATTAAAATTTGTGCATAATTTACAAAAAAATTTGTTCAGGAACAATTCACTGCCATGAGAGATTTATATATGAAGAATGGACAGGGTTTTGTGCTGGTATATTCCATAACAGCTCAGTCTACATTTAATGATTTACAAGATTTGAGGGAGCAAATTTTAAGAGTAAAGGTAAAGTGATTAAAATAAAATCTTCCAAAAAAAAGGATACTTGCTAATAAAATCTAAAGATTTCTTTATTTTAATTTCAATTTTTATTAGGATACTGATGATGTTCCCATGGTGCTAGTGGGGAATAAGTGCGACTTAGAAGATGAACGTGTGGTTGGCAAGGATCAAGGAGTTAATTTAGCTCGTCAATTTAATTGCGCTTTTATGGAATCATCTGCCAAGGCAAAGATATTTGTTTATGATGTTAGTATGATTCATTTGTTGTTTATGATGTTTCTATGATTCAACAACTTCTTTAACAAATCATTATTTTCAGATATTTTTTGATCTTGTTCGGCAAATAAATAAAAAGTCTCCAGAAAAGAAACAGAAACAGAAAAAGAAATCTATTTGTTCACTTTTGTAAAAGATGAAGAAATTATATAAATATATAAATATATAATTATTGTCAGACACAAAGACGTAATATTATTGACAGTTATTACAAGGTTTAGTTCAAGAAATAATGATACTTTTCAACTCAAACAAGTTGTCAAGTCAACACATATATTGATGCTGAAGAAGGTGCGCACTGGTTGAAATTATGGATATAAAGTTATACAAGATAAGGAAAATGTAGGGGCTTGAATATTATTCCAATATCTTTTACATTTTTATTCTGTATATTCATAGAATGGATTAAATAATAATTATATATTAGGTTTAAATTTAAGCAACTTGCATCCTTATTTGCAATATCGCATAATATAAATCTGGTGACTTAGAAAATTTGTTATTCCAATTTATTTTTTGCAACATATATAATATGTTTATGAATGGTAAATTAAATGTATTGCTGTGCATGATTTAATGTACATTTTAAACACATCCTCGAAAAGCAAATGAGTAGGTTTTATTAGTTAAAAAAAAAAATAATTTTAGATCTACAAAAGGTTGAAGACATGTACATTTAATTTTATACAGTATACAATACAATTTTATAATTCATACTTATGTTTATATTCATCGTATTCTATCTGAAGAGAAATTAAAAAAAAAAGTAATGCACATTGATGTTGATGTATATGTAATGATTCTGTTTCCGCCATATATCTTCCTATAATAGATGTCTTAAACTTTCATTAAAAAAAAAAAAACTAAGCAGTCATTTATGCTTTATAACAAACTGTCATGCAATATGTTCTTAAATTTTAACTGTAATTAATTTGTATTGCATTTATACAATTAAATCTTTATACATATGAGTCAGTTCTTTTTATTGCAGAGGCTTTAGCACAAAATTATTTTATTTTGTTAACGCTATAATTATAAATATAATTTGTATAATGCATGGTCAATATTTTAATGACACTTTCAATTAAATGTAATTATTGGTACAATCATTTTAACTTGTAATTACATGTTTGTCATCCAGCAGATAAATTGTTCTAGATTAAAATTTTTGTAAGATTTGTTATAAAGTTAAAAACTTTGAACTCTAGGTTTAATGTACATAATATTGTTATGTGAAATGTGTTCTAAATTTACTGATTTATATAATCACTTTATTAAATAGTTAATTATGTATTTTTGATTACTTTGAACTTAATTATTTAATAAAGTGTACAAAGATTGAAAACAAATCATTTAGTTTTTTTTGGGAGAGGGCAAAGATCCGTGAAGTTAGGTGTTATATAAGTTTTTGCCACCTTCATCTCACACATGAATTGAAAAGAAAATTCATTTATATTTTATTTTTATATGAAATTATATTGTAAAAAAGTCTCATAAAGACTGATTTTACGGTTCATTATAAGTAATAAAAAAATAATTAAAGAAATAAATTATGCATTTCATTAGTACAGTGAAGATCTTGCATGCTATTGATTTTATAAATCATATTTTTACTGCAAAAATACCTTCACAATTGGTCATAAATGTAAGCTAGTTAACACGCTTCAGTAATTAATAATTCATAGTAGTCAAGCAGTGAATAAGAGCATAGACAGTATTAATATCTAAATTATTTATTTACATCTTCACCTTTTTGAAATCTTTCAATTCGCATATTTCATAAAAATATTAATAAAATTTGCAATAGAATGGTATGAATTCTTTTTTCATAAATCAATTAACAAAAAAGTTTTGCATATGCAGTTGTGAAATATTGTTAATAAAAAAGCATAACTTTTAATTAATTTTATTAATGAAAAAACTATACCTATGAACAAGATGATTACAAAATAATGAAGTAACTATTTTTTATATGTTTTGTCTGTTAGTACAATTTCATAATTTCATTCTTTACATCCCTATAATTATTATAATTATAACAATTTTATATTGCTCTAACACAAATTGTACTTCATACTATAATATAAAATGATACCGGAGCATTCGTCCTAAACATATATGTATTCATTAGTCATAGATAGTATACTCGAAACTCCTTATACTGAAATATTTAAAAAAATATGAGTAGGAATCTTGTTCATTCCAACATCTGTGACTTCCATAACAAAATTTTTAAACTAAAATACTCATTAACAAACTATTTCACTCATCATCATAATGTTCCTTCTGCTCCTGCCCATCTTTTCTCTTAGAGGCGTGGTACACATGATTGGTATCACCTCTCAATTAGCCTTCACCTTCAAATGCTCTCACATTTCATATATTTTCAATTTCTCAGAAATCTATGTTTCGCTATTCCGTAAAGAAAAATATCTTCTATCCCCAGTTCTCCACTCTTTAATGAAAAGAAGAGTAAAATTATAGGTAAGTAATTCTTACTTGTATAAATAATTTTTATTCATTATGTGCAATTTATAATTTATTGTATTTGTAGGAAAACCATTCCGGAAGAGGGGGATATAACATCCAGTTACTGCATACTCCTGTTTATTCTCTAGATGGAACTATTTTTACTAATATATTGATATAGGCCTTATTTATCTATGGTATAGGCATAATGTGCTCAAGCCTTTTCATTATTTTATCTCACTTTCTTTTGACATTCTAGAATCATAGTTTTTTTCATATATAAAAATGTCCAGATAAAAGACAAATGTTTTTTCTGTAACAGTTTCAAATAAATCAACATCATAGTATTTATGAATAAATTGTTGAATGTATAGCAAACTTTAAATGAATATAATGTAAAATATATAACTAAAATGTGGACAATTCAAAATTGAAAAAGCAAAATTATATTATTTCTATATATTTATAATAAAATACCTATGAAACTTTTTAATATAAAGATTCCATGGCAAAATGGAATTTCATATTATCGTTTATATTTTATATAAATCATTTATTGAATTCAATTTGAGGATTGACTCGAAACAAAAATCGCGGTTATATATGCAATAATGCATAGTGTGCCAACCAAATAACTGTGAAGTTGTCATCGGAAAATTTCAAAATTCTTGTACATTGCTACATTGCTACCATTCTCGCCCATGCCTTAACGATAGTTATTCAATCTATCGAAACTGTCTTTCGATAATACATACTGCCTAAAAATGGCGCTTTTTGTCTTACCATTTATTTTTGCCTGTTATCAATGTCTGTTTTAAGCGTAACAAATTATTATTGAGATATTGAAAACCATAGATAGTTATTTATTTAAATGATTTTGTGTGAAGTTATATTATTTTACAACTTAATTCTTTCAATAACAATTGGTTTAATCCAATAACCTTAAACTAAATGAGTGTGTTGACAGCTATGGAATTGAAGAATGATATTGGGGAAAGCAGTAGAGTTCAAGAAATGCAAGAAGTCTCTGCTGTGCTCCAACTTCTTTGGGGTTCAGAAATTAAGCAAGAAGTTTTTCAACGTTGGTCACAAGGTATATAAGAATGCTTATTGTAAATTGATCATTAACTAACGGAGATCTTTTTTAAGGGTTTTCATTCAGCCCTGATGAACCCAGCGCTCTTGTACAGAATGAAGGCGGCCCTTGCGCCGTTATAGCTCCGGTGCAAGCATTCCTATTGAAAACCTTATTATCTGAATCATCTGGACCTAGTTTTCAAGATGTAAGAATGTTATGTTTATTTTTATCCTGTGTGATGCTTATGCTATTTTTTTCATTTTAGTTAACCGAAGATAAATGCAATAAACTTTTGGTTCAAGCTTTGTGTAACATATTAATTAAATGTGTATCAAAAAAGTACAAAATTTTAGATTTAAGTAATTTAATGGCACATTCCAAAAATAAGGTTGTAAATAGTGATGGAAACAAACCAGAAATTTCAGAAAGCCCTGAAATTGAACCTGAAGCAGCTGATACTGTTTTAAGTGCAAAAAATTTTCATGAAAGGATATGCATTCATACATTAGAAACTATCGAAGATGTGGAATTATTTTACAATAATAATCCTAAAGTTTTGTTTGACCGGCATGGTGTTTTGCTGTTTTTATATTCTGTACTGCTAACAAAGGTAAAGATATTATTTTTAGTAAATGCACATGAAACAACATAATGTTTAGAAAATTAGTGTAAATATAAAGATTAACGAAAGTGAGTTAATTTATGAGTAGAATAATGTACGAGGTCTGTTCAAAAAGTACCCGGAATTTTCGTTTTTTCAAAAAAATATTTATTTATTCGTCTACATTAATGTGGTCCCCTTCAAAGTAGTCCCCCCAAGATATAATACACTTATGCCAGCGTTTTTTCCAATTTTCGAAGCACCCTTGATATTCACTTTTTGATATGTCCTTGAGCACTCTCAGCGATTTTCTTCAATCGAGGAAAACCGCCGTCCTTTCATGGGTCTCTTCAACTTTGGGAATAGGAAAAAGTCACACGGAGCCATATCTGGTGAATTTTTGCACTCTGCAACACTTTATTTCATTTTTTACGCAAAATTTAATACAAATTCTTTGACTTTTCAATTCTTCCATTGTAAAAATCGCCGAGCTCAGAAAAACACGTCGAACCTTAGCGACTACCACAGACAAAGTAAACAGTGAATATAGCTGAAAATTTCATCATACTTTAGGGGCATGTATACCAACACAATAAAAAAAAAATTTTGACAATCAGACACTCCAGACCCGCGAAATTTAATTATTAGTAATTCCGGGTACTTTTTGAACACACCTTGTAAGTGTACAGTACTTATAGTTAATTTACAAACATAAAATTACAACTAAACCTCAGTGAAAGTATTTTGTCAGTTTTAATTTTAGTACATATTATTACAGTATTAGCAATAATTAATTCAACATTTCCGATTCTTGAGTATATATCTATATTTACCATAATGTATATTATTTGATCAGTATGTTTTGTCAGCTGTTTAGTGATAGTGACATTTTTTAGGGAATTGATCAAGTTAAAAATGAATTAAATGACACTTCGGAACCTCTTATTCATGATACTTACGGATATGGATCTCAAGGATTGATAAATCTTATGCTAACTGGTAAAGCTGTTGCTCATGTTTGGGATCATGTGCAAGACATCGGAGGACTTAGTAAGTGCCTAAACATTTGGTTTATTCTTTAGGACTTTTAACTGAGTGATATATATATGCGAGCATACAGAACAGGCCAAAAGTTTCCGGACACATGAAAAAAATCTCATTTTCTGAGTTTTTAGCTATATTTTTCATATAAAAATAATTTTATTCAAGTTAGTTTTGTACATTCTATGTAGTATTAATATTTAGTGACTGATTTGTAACCAATTTGTGAGAAATGATAGACTAATTAGCAATGAAAATGTTAAAATGTCACTGCAGTCGATTTTCCTGAATATGACCACCCTTTGCTTTGATCACTGCAGCGCATATTTTTGGTAATCTTTCGACGAGTTTTTGCAATGTTTGCGCAGGTATGTTCTTCCAGGACTCGTTAAAGCAGGGCAGGGAAGCTGGTTGGATGCAAATTCTTCACGCGGCATTTAAGCTCGTCCCACAACAGTTGTATTGGATTAAGATCCGGCGATTGTGGAGGCAACTCAATTATTTCCTCCAAATAATTGGCACAGAGTCGGGAAGTGTGTTTAGGGTCATTATCTTGTTGAAAAATAAATTTTGGACCAATTAAATTAAGACCAGATGAAATGGCGTGGCGCTGAAGTATGCTATGATACTGTTCTTTCTTTAAAGTTCCATCTATTTTGACAAGCGAGCCAACTCCATTGAATCCAAAACAACCCCAAGCCATCACTCAACCACCACCGTGCTTCACCTTCGGCGCAATACACTTAGAATTGAGTCTTTCATTACCCTTCCTACGACAATACTGACGTCGATGATTTCCGAAAAGTTCGAATTTTGACTCATCCAACCATAACACTGATTTCCATTGATCGATGGTCCAATTTAAGTGGGTTTTGGCAAATTGCAATCTCTTTTGTTTATTTACTGCTCGCAGAAGTGGTTTTTTGATGGCAACACGACCAATCATACCTTTTTCTCGAAGCCGGCGCTTGACCGTCGTGAGTGATATTGGCTCATCTAACCGTTCATTGATTTGAGCCCGGATATCTGAAGCGGACTTGAATCGATTTGCATTGCTGATGTTGTATATCTTGTCATCGACTTTATTTGAGGTTTTCCGAGGTCGACCAGATCGAATTCGATCAGTATTGATGCCTGTTTCATGATATCTTGCCACTGCATTTTGTGCTGTACTTTTAAGTACCTGTAGTATTCTGGCGATATCGCGATATGATTTGCCTGTTTCTTTCAAAATAACTTTTCAGACGATAAATTCTTCAAAAATACTTCAAATAATTGAGTGGCCTGCACAATCGCCAGATCTTAATCCAATAGAACTGTTATAGGACGAGCTTAAGCGCCGCGTGAAGGATTTGCATCCAAACAGCTTTCCTGCCCTGTGGAATCCCTTAACGAGTCCTGGAAGAACATACCTGCGCAAACATTGCAAAAAATCGTCGAAAGATTACCAAAAATATGCGCTGCAGTGATCAAAGCAAAGGGTGGTCATATTCAGGAAAATCGACTGCAGTGACATTTTAACATTTTCATTGCTAATTAGTCTATCATTTCTCACAAATTGGTTACAAATCAGTCACTAAATATTAATACTACATAGAATGTACAAAACTAACTTGAATAAAATTATTTTTATATGAAAAATATAGCTAAAAACTCAGAAAATGAGATTTTTTTTATGTGTCCGGAAACTTTTGGCCTGTACTGTATATCTATGTTGGAAGAAGACAACCTATTTAGATTTCTCTTTAGTTTTTGGTTATTTTATTTATCATTTATTTTTAGTTAAAAAATTTTTTTTAGAAAAGAAATGATGAATTTATAGTTGATACTTCAGATAATGCATGATGCATAGGTGTTTCCCTTTCTTTGTTTTCACATTCAGGATGTCTAAAGTCATTCAGGAATCTAATGTTGCCATAATATTAGGGAAGTATTAATTAAAAAGGGTATGGGCGCATTGCCATATAGAATCGGCCCCACCCTGGTATTTAAATAATTTATACGCCATTTTATAGGTCTAAATGATAAAAACCGATATACCAATTTTCAACTTTCTATCTCATGTTATGGCCGAGATATCATTGAAAATATGTGAAAGTGGCCCCTTTTTTCAAACTCACTTTCAGACGTAACCATAAAAGATATCGAAAAAAAAATTACGTGGTTCTATTCATATTGGCTTAGGCCACATTATGTAGAACAATCAATTTCAAATAATCAATTATTATTAGCTGAAAAAGATAAAATAATTTTTCAATTGATGTTTTCCGGTAGTGCGTTCAGTTGGACCACCTTCTAATTACCTTTATTCGAAAGATTATTGTTTTTTCTTTTAGTACTGAAAATATTGTTCAAATCAATTTGGTGGAACACATTGGAAAATTGAAAAAACCGGAGCCAATACACCCGCGCGTAACGCTAATAGTACCCTGCAATTGCATAGAGTTCGTTCGAACGCAAAGCTGTGCGCGACGCGCCCGAAACGATTTCTAAGAAATTCTGAATGTGACAATATTTATTATATAGTTATATGTATTCATATGAAATAACGATATAATGAAACATTGTAATTTCAACAAACCCAAGAAACCTTTCTTTTTTTGAATGATAATTTTAACATTGTGATTATAAAGCCCTTATTGTGGCCTATCTTTATCAGTACTACTCAATACTACAATACAAAAAGAAATATGACAAATGGTAATCTGAAATTCTTTGCTTTTTGTTATTTAAAATTCTTCAAAAATTATTCGCCATTTGATGCGGAAACTTTCTATATAGTACTTCAGGAATTTACAAAAATTAATACTGAAAGTATCTTAACACACTATAGGCGGGCCCCGTAAAATTACGCTCTGCGAGGACTGTTGCTTATCGGCGGGCAAGGTATTATTACGCTTTGAACAGACTAACTTTAAAAGCGAGTCAAAATACTTTTATCTGATCGGTTTGCATATGATATTGAAAGAATAGCTGATACTTTTCTCTAGATTCAATTGATTTACGTATTGAAAGACTTTTAGAATAAGAATAAGGATAAGAAACAATATGTTTTATCTTCAAGTTTCTTTTCATTCAAGCTACTCGCAATTTGTTTTGTAGATAAATATGCAGAATTTACAACAATAAAAAGGTGTTCAATATATATTTTATCAAATATTTTAGTTATTAGTCAGATTTGTATAGTTCAACTCTTTTTTACATTGTTATTTGCAATAATGAAATAATAGCATCGGATAGCGATAGTAAAGTTTGCGCCAATAATTTATCACAAATTGGAAGTGATTTTGATATTACTGATTTTGGTAGTGTATGTGGATGAAATTTTTTTTCATCCTAGAAGACGTAGAGTTTTGCCGATTATTTCCAGAGATTCTGAAAATAATGACAATGAAGAAGTGGAGTGGTCAGAATTTGACAATCCTCCAATTATTGAATCATTTTTGGGTCAAAGTTGCGTTGTTTTGAAACCAAATAGTTTAATTGAAGTGGTCAGCTATTTTTGCTATTCGGGTCCCAGCACCTCTTCATAAGGGGTGATTTTTTCCATAAATTTCACGTATGTAAAAAGTGGTTTATATATTTACTGTACGTTAAATTTTTAACTTTCCGTAGGTTAGTTATAACTAACCTATATAATAGTAATGGGCGGAAAATCAAGAATGAAAATTATTCCATTTTTCTACGGTTTTTAGGTTTCTGAACATTTTGGCATATCTCAGAAGAAATGGATGTGTCTCTGTGTGTGCGTGTGTTTTTGGTGGCCGCATTTTTTCGTTCACGTTTTCGGACGCACGGATCAACCGATTTGAATGGTTCAAAAAACATTCGATTCCTATTGATAGGGAGATGTGCTCATTAGTTTTTGGCAATCGCAGGTCCAGCCGTTACGGAGATACAGAGCAAAAAGTGCAGAAAATAGAAATCGAGTTTTTGAGAGAACGGAGCATCCGATTTGAATGATCTAAAAAACATTAAATTAGTAATGATTGGGAGAAGTGGTGATTAGTTTTTGGCAAAGGCAGGTTCAACCATTTCAAAGATACGGAGCTAAATGTACACAAAATGGCAGTTTTTGAGAGAAATAAGCATCCGAATTGAATGATTCAAAAAACATTCTGATTGTGTTGACATAACAATTGCTTTAGGAAAAACATATTTCATTCAATACTCAATATTCCTCAAACATTTCGATATGGTACAGGAAGTTTCAGCAATTTGCCTTAAAGCACGATGCCATATGCTACTAGTTTTTGTTAGTTTTATATTTAATTATGCATAAATCAAATAATTTTTTTATAGTTCAAAACAACTAGACGGTTTTTTTTTTAAAAAAAAAGAGTTATAAAAAAATATGTTCAATGTGACAGCCAGTTGTGTTCATGCGAGGCGACGGAAAGAGCACTCGTGTCGAGCAAGCGATTTGCCCGCTACACATATCAGTTTGGTCTGACGAGAATTTTTACGGGGCCCGCCTATAGTGTGTTAATAATTATTTTCATCACATAAAATTTTTTAGTTAATTCATTTAAAAAATTACATTATTTTTATGTTTGTATTTTTTATGTGGCTTATTTAGTATAGTGATTACTTAGTGAGTATAGTGATATTTTAGTGATTTAGTTGATTTAGTGATTTAGTTAGTTAAGATTTAGTTAACATAGTAGAACTAATAATGTCTAAAACTTGCAAAAACTGTGATAAATATTTATTCAAAATGCGTAATAGAACGAAAATCATTCTAACCGAGGATGATGAACAGTTGTATAGTAGTTCAATAGGAAAAATAATTAAAATTGGTGATATTTTGTGTTCCACTTGTAGACTAATTCCTTATAGAGGAGAAGCAAGCACAGACAATATTAATGATTTATCGCATAGTAGTACTGAAAACAAATGTGTTAGTGATTCTTGCAGTGAATTTGAATGTAATTTACCTTCGAAAACTGATTTATCCGTGGATCTTTGTCTCAATCGAGTTGCATCGACGCATAGACATTGTTCTATTTGCAGTAATAAATCCGACCTAATTACAATTCCTCTAGAAGCCAGGATTCACGCATTTGTAAAAGTCAGAATATATATATACCGCTTGGAAATCGTGCATGCAATAAGCATTTTTTTGGAAAAATTTTGTATGAAGAAGATATACGACAGTTACGTATTTATTCAAACACTAGTCTCGTCCCTCAGAAGGAAATATCAATATTTTTAAACGCTTTGGCAGATACAAGTGTTTCATTATTTAAGCAGATAGATAATTTATCTATATCGTCTGAACAAATAAAAATATTAACAGGTTTTAATCTAGAAGTAATCGCAGAAATAAGTAAAATGCTTAGATCAATGAAAAATAGTAATAATCGAAACGTTTTCCAAGCATTAGTTATTTTTTTGTTCAAATTGAAAACGGGAAATTCTAATCAAGTCATCGCCGGCGTTTTTAATATTTCAAAGAGACAAGTCTCTCATTATTATAAACAAATTTTAATTGGATTCGAAAAAGATATATTGGATCAAAATTTTGGATAAGAGTCTTTTACCAGAACCCAATTAATATCGGAGACATCATACAACGCACAAAAAATTCTGGGATTAACCAATGAGCAACTGGCATTAATATGTGATGGTACATATATACGACACGAAAAGAGCACAAATAATGATTACCAAAGAAAGTCATTTTCTGGCCAAAAACGGGTACCACTATGCAAACCATTTACAATTTGTACAACAAATGGCTTCATAGTTGACTTTTTAGGCCCATACCTGGCAACACAAAATGACGCCACAATCATGAAAATTATATTAAAAGATGCGCATGGCATCAGAACTTTTTTGCAACCTGATGATATTCTATTGGTAGATCGCGGTTTTCGTGATGCTCTAACAGATATAAAATCAGCAGGATATGTGCCTCTTATGCCATGCTGCAGGGGTAGAAGAAAACAACTCACAACAGAAGAGGCGAACGAATCGAGAAGAATTACAAAACTTCGATGGGTTATTGAAGCTGTGCATGGTAATATTGCGCAAAGATATCGGCTTTTACACAACACACTAAATAATAAATTATTGCCTAAAGTCCGAACATTATGTAAAATTGTAGGTTTTTTACATAATAAGTATGGAAAACGATTATCATCGGATGGAGATTTAGCTGATGAAGTGATCAACTATATGAATGAACGGACTATACCCAACACCTTACATGATGAAGTTATTGAAAATCGATGGACCAGACGAGCAAAAACACTTCAACTTCTTCAGTCAGATCAGTTGTTAGATTTCCCACATTTGAATGAACGAGAACTTAAAATATTATTCACAGGGTCATACCAGTTATCACAAGCAATATCTTACCTGGCTGAAATGCTGTCTGACCAAAATCAGCCGAAGTTATATTACGTAAAAGAACATAGGAATATAATTAGAATTGATGTCCAATCACGGCATATAAATAGGAAAAAATATACTGTTTATATTGAATATATACTCCGCTTGGCACCAACTATCGAAGTATTTTAAGGTATTGCTGTAGTTGTCCCAATGGATTGAGGACTGTTGGTTGCTGTTCACATATTGCAGCTATTATATATTATATGTCATTTGCGAGGTATTTATCACGTATTATACGTCCATCAGAAATACTATCGAAAATTTTTATAATAGAGGAAACTTCGGTTGCTATTAACCACGACAGTGATGACGATTAAAATAACAAAATATAATTTTAATTGATTATTTATTTATTTAGCATACCGAAGTATTTGTGTAAATCATATGATACACTTGTAAATTTTAAGAGACACCAATAAATTTTTATGTCTAATATTATAATTAAAATGCCTTTATTAGTTTAATTGAATTACTCACAGTGATAAATGAAATTGTATTTCAGATTCAGAAATGAAAGTTCAGAATTTCTTAGAAATCGTTTCGGGCGCGTCGCGCACAGCTTTGCGTTCGAACGAACTCTATGCAATTGCAGGGTACTATTAGCGTTACGCGCGGTTGTATTGGCTCCGGTTTTTTCAATTTTCCAATGTGTTCCAATATTGTTCAAATTGATTTGAACAATATTTTCAGTACTAAAAGAAAAAACAATAATCTTTCGAATAAAGGTAATTAGAAGGTGGTCCAACTGAACGCACTACCGGAAAACATCAATTGAAAAATTATTTTATCTTTTTCAGCTAATAATAATTGATTATTTGAAATTGATTGTTCTACATAATGTGGCCTAAGCCAATATGAATAGAACCACGTAAATTTTTTTTCGATATCTTTTATGGTTACGTCTGAAAGTGAGTTTGAAAAAAGGGGCCACTTTCACATATTTTCAATGATATCTCGGCCATAAGATGAGATAGAAAGTTGAAAATTGGTATATCGGTTTTTATCATTTAGACCTATAAAATGGCGTATAAATTATTTAAATACCAGGGTGGGGCCGATTCTATATGGCAATGCGCCCATACCCTTTAAATTTAAGTATTGTTATTACTATTTGAATTTGAATTTTGTTTCACAATATATAATATGTAATTATACAATAATTACATAATATACCAAATAATAATATAACAAAACTATTAAGCTGAAATGCAATACAATATAGTGTAAAATCAACCAGCAATCATCGCTCTGGTGTAAATATGAACTACATATAATGTACCATAATAGCTGTCTTTTGATTAAGTTATAATAAAATTGAATATCAAATTTTAGTTTAGTGACGGCCATTAATCTCAATATGAAAGCTTAAATTATTTATTATTATACCAGCATTAAGAACTTGTTGCTACACATCGATTCACTGACGCTGGGTGTTTGAAGCTAGGCAAATTTTAGTGAATGCTGGTTTTGTTTTCAATGAATAAGGCCTGGCTAATATTATATATTAAGGTTTTATCACAAGCTTCCCATTAGTTTCATATATGAATTGAACTAAATAACAATTATCAACATTGTACAAATACAGTGTTTTGTGATACGAACCGTCACAGAAGTGAATCGTTGCTTAGATATAAGAGCTTTGAGCCAGAAATGAAAAATTTTGTCAGTTGTAACAATGAATTTCCCTCCATAGAAATATTTTGATGGTTTGATGATAGTGATTCATTTTGTAATTTGTCACTTCAAATGTATATTAATTATATAGTCATAATTTATTCATGCAAATATACTGAGGATTATTTTAACATTTGAAATTTTTACTATACATTAATAGTAATACATTTTTTATGTTGAGTTTGCGTTTTTGGTTTTATATGGGAAAAATTTCTTTGAGTATGGTTTGGAAAGAAAATACTGCTTTTTAAATTGAAGTAAGAGCTTTACGCAGTAGTTTTTAATTGACTAATTTAATATTTTATTATAGAGCTTCGAGGCATTGACCAACAAGCAGATATAGGTTTCATAACCCTCATGGAACAAATGAGGTATTGTACTGTTGGCTCATTTTTCAAAAATCCAAAAAATCCTGTCTGGGTAATGGGTTCAGAAACTCACTTAACAGGTAAGTTATTTTATATATTTTTTTTCATATCGTCATATATTACTCATAATCTTCATGCATTTTTGAATACAGTTCTGTTCAGTTTTGAGAAGTTACTGGTGTCTCCAGAGACAGCCAGTGAGTCTGCTCGCCGAGTTTTTAAACAGTTTGATCCAGAAGGAAATAACTTCATTTCTAGTATATTATTACAGGATGTTTTATGTGCTTTAAATTTAGTTAGTGATCCAGAATAGTGAGTATAAACATTTGTTATGCATTAATTTTAAAAAAATTCAATTTTAACTGATTTTTATTTCACAGTGTTGATATAATGCGTAAAAAGTTGGATGCAGAGAACTTAGGTATAATATTATTGAATGCGTTTATGGATGAATTTTTTTCTGGTGAAAAGCGTTCTACTCCTGATTGTTTCACTTTATATCACTATAATGGATTGCCAAGATCTAATGCCAATAACAAGGTACCTGTTACATTTTTTTATACTATAGTTACAAAGATATCATTCGAGGTATCCCAGAAACGATAGTATTGATCATAACTATCATGAAAAAAATTAGAAAAAAAAAATCTGACATAGTTTGAAAATTATATTTGAGTTTTCAAGTGCAGCTCTGACCTTTGGTCAAACTGTGACCATTTTTTGGCTATTTTTATTAACTTTGTTTATTTAAGCTTTGGATTCATGATCATATAAATAATTGGTCTCATTATATCACTATAATGAATTGCCAAGATCTAATGACAATAACAAGATACCTGTTATATCTTTTTCTTACTATAGATACGAAGATATCATACAGGGTGACCCAGAAATGATAATATTGATCATAACTATCATGAAAAAAATTAGAAAAAAAAATCTCGCATAGTTTGAAAAATATGAGTTTTATTTTAGTTTTTTTAGTGCAGTCTTGACCTTTGGTCAAACTGTGACCTTTGGATTCGTAATCGTAATAATTGGTCTCTAGTCAAAAATAATTACACAATTGCCTAAGTTTTTAGGAAATGTTGAGTTCTGTGACATCATGTTGTATATTATATTTAATATATAATTTTGCTTGATAGGTGACATATCAACGAGGTATGGCTGTTCTGCTAGAATGTGATTTGAAAAGTGTTTGCCCTTCAAATACAATGCTTACATGTCTCCAAACAAAGTGGCCAAACATTGAGATTAATTGGCTGGGTCGTATTCCTTCACTAAATTGACATACGTCAATCATGTTTTATGTCAAAAAAAACAAGTACTAGCAATCATACTCATCTATTTTTCTTTTACTTATTTACGGAAGAAATCAGGTGACCAAAAACATTTATTTACATATATAATATGTAATCAGGTAAAAAAATTTCTTCTGTTGATCAAATAGTTTTTATATTAAGTCATTTAGATATAATCATAATATATAATTATTTATTATGTGATATAGTCATTATAAAATATTGTTAACACATTTTAATATGGTATATGTTTACTTATTTATATTTCATTATTAATAAGCTAAATGGAAGTCATTATTTTTAACAATTGTGGCTATGTTTTAAGGTTTATTAGTTTTGCAATTGAGATGAATTTATGTGTACTTAGTTCTGATAGTTCCAATTATTAATCGATATTCTTGTATATGTGCAAATATTTTCTAAAAAATTTACAGTAACACGCAATAGTTTATTGAATTAATATGTATTTACAAAATAATTTGTACAAATGGTTCTGCATGAACTTAAGACTACATAACAGAGTAAGATCTTTGTTTGTTTTAAATGTACAATGTCTGGCTAGAAAAGACAAAAGTTCTGTTTAATTTGAATTAAAGTTAATTATTTGTGGAATGTATATGTACTTGGTTATTCAAAATATGAAAAATATTTTATTTGCAATAATGAATATTGCACTAAAATATATTCAGAAGGTATATATTTTTTTAAATGCAATTAAACACCCAGTGATAATGTTTTTCAAAATACTAATAATTATTAACAAATTTTTAAATGTGAAGTATGTTCCTCGTATATTGTTCTCATTATTGTATACTAATAATTATAATATTGATTTCCTATAAGTTCTTGTAGCTAAAATTATCATCATAATTTTAATATTTGTTTTACTATTTTTGTCAATGGAAACGTATTCGCATTTGCTTGGAAATCATCACTATTGAGAGAATAAATCATTGCTCCTCCAAATTTGTTGTCTTTAATATATTTTGACTTGAATAGAATTATTATTTTTATTATGAGAATTATTACTATTGTGTAATAATTAATATTCATGAGACTAACCTTGCATTCAATACTTCTTGTATTCTCGAATGAAATCCATTCATTACCACCAGATACATATGGAGAACATGAAGTTTTATCGAATTGAAGATCAACAAATATATTGTGTCTGATGAACCAATTTACTTCGGGATAGGTCACAAAGCCATTCTCACCTAAACGTCCATAGCCACTAGCTGGACTTTGAATTTTGTTATTAAGAGGATTCAACAAACTATAAAGTAGTTTTCTTTATGTATTAATTAATGCAGGATTTTTTTTACATGATCATATATATATATATATATATATATATATATATAATTACAAAAGCACTTACGTAAATGAATGCCCATATGTTGGGAGTCCTACCATGATCTTTTCTTTTTGCATACCACTGTTTAACCAATAATTTATGGTGAAGTTTATATTTAGTGTAGACCAGTATAAAATATCATTAGAACTAGCATATAGTGGTGCATTCAAACCTGCAGTAAAAAAAAAATAAAGCTATCAATTTTACATTTTTTTTTATTAAAATACTCTATTTAATATTTTATCAAAATTGTTAACATAACATTGTGTTTTTAAGGTTGCTGGTTAAAATATGTACAAATGTATTTATAATATTACTGGTTATTGATGCAACAATATTTTAAGGGTTCAAGATCAGTAAGCATTAGGTTTTAACACATACTATACTATATCCATTTGAATAGCAACCTCAGTTGTTGTGAATTTCATTTCATAGATCTTGTAGCATTAAATATAAATAGAATATTTGCCAATATTGTACAAAATCATGCTATATAACATTTTACCATAATTTAAAACACAATTTTAGAGAGAAAACTAATATGAGTAAGTTAAAAGTGCATTTATTTTTTAAGTTGCTCACAGAATATAAAATATTTGATTGGTAAATTTTTGATAAAAACTATAATATACAAGTCAGCAGAGCAACAAAATAAAATTTGTTATTAATGAAGTAAATGATGAGGTCAAAAAGTGTATTTATTTTTCATGTTACAAAGCAAAATTTTATAAAAACATACTTTACCAATTACATTATTCTGTAATTTACATTATCTAAAGAAGGTCAATGAAACAATCTTGAGCGCTCTAAATGGATTAGAGAAATATGAAGAAGATAATATGTACCTACAAAGCAACAAACAGGGAAGTGCGTTCAAAATTGGTAGATGAAAGGACCAGAATTATTAAAGAAAAAGGAAACTATACTCGGTCCATATTGGGAAAAGAACTGCCTGCTGCACGGCGCAACTAGAATTGAAAACAAATATAAATTATAAACATGAGTGAGTAATGGAGGAAAATAGTGATATTTATGAGGAGTATGAAAGCGTGTCCATATATTTATAAAGGAATATAACCAGAACTTATACTTGATAACCGAATGATGCCAGGACGTGTTATAAATTTCAGAAAGAAAAACTTGATTTATCATATTCCTTAAGAAATTGCTTTTTGGATTGCGCATACTAAACAAGTTGCTCATGCTTTTAAAATAAGTATATTATATACTTTAATAACAAACCTGTAAATGGTGTGAATTTGCTATAGAAATGAAAATCATATGTCATAACATTTACAAAGTCTACATATTTATTCAACTCTAATACGTCATATGATATGTCCACAATTGTTCTAGGAGCTGCAACAGCTGTACTTAAAATATAATCCCTTTTCTCTCTGACATACTCCATTCTGATTTCACGTAATAATTGTGAAAAATGTTGCCTCTCACGATTATTAAACATTCCGTCACTACCAGGATTAAGGCCAGGAAATTCCCAATCCAAATCAACCCCATCTAATTTGTACTTTCGCAAAATATTCTTTAATGAACCTATAAACCTGGATTAGAAATTAGTTAGTACAATAGTATATTAGTTAGTCAGTGCAATAATTAATTGTTGTGCACTATAATTTTCAAGCACTATATTCATATAATGCACATACTCTTTACGATTTGCATGATTTTTTATCATTGCAGAAAACTCGCTGTCCTCTCTATTTCCGCCAACAGAAAGCATTACTTTCAGGTTTTTATTAATTTGTTTCAATTTAACTACAGTCTCATATACCTTAAAAAAAGTACAAAAACTATATTTAGTATATATATTTAGTGCGTGTTTTGTGTTTATGTTGAAATATCTAACTTTTAGTAAGTATCGTCTTCTCTAGTGCAGAAATGTTTGACTTACAGTCGAGCCAATAAAAGATTTTTGCAGAAAGTCTTCAGAAATAGCTTCATTTTTTTAAGTTTTTTAATATTATTCAAAAACAGACACATTTCAGAAAGGACAATAGTTTTTTGAGTTTAAATATGTATGATATTTATATAAGGAAATAAGTTTTTGAGTAGTTTTCAGTAAAAAAAAATTCGTGTTAAGAATATTATTTATAATAATTACAGTTGTTATTAATTATTCAATATTTACATCATCAAAATTCTCTGTGTGTGTAAAACTATAAGAATTAATTTGAATGGAAAGACTTTGATGTATTCCAACAGTTTAATTGCATTAAAACTCAAAAAATATTGATATTTAAAAAAAAGACTTTTTTTTTACAAAAATCTCTCATTTCATAATATCTCAAATTATGAAAAATACATATAAAAGTATAACAAATTATCAAAAAAAACCTACATTTATACGTAAATTTCATTATTTTCGACATATTTTTGCCTCTAAAGACTTTCTAATTTTGTCTATTTTACACCCATTTTTCCTTTGTCGAGATTATTTCAATTATATGCTATGAGTTCAAACAATTAGTCCACAGTTTTATACACGAGCAAATAATTATTTAACTGATCTACATAATTATTTTACGATTATGAATGAGGCCACTTTCGCAAATTTTTAATGATATACGTCTACTTTTGGGGGCCTGCATTAATGGCGTGAGCAATTTCTAAGGATTATTGGATCTCCCCCCTTAGTGATACGTAGTGATATTTAAAATTACCACCCCCTCCCTCACCAAATATCACTTGTATTTTTTAAATTGAAGTAAAAAATAAATGCACGTGATATCTATGTTTTTTTTCTTTGTCAAACCTCGTCTTCCTCTTTAAGGCTCACCTAATTAATGAACGCCCTCCGTTAATGATCACCAAATGATTTTGGATTTTTGGGGCCTTAGCTGGGAAATTGAGAATCGGTATATCGGATTTTTTTCAAGAAGACCTATGAAATAAATCTACGTATAAATCGTTTAAATACGATTCAAGCTCATACTTGCTTATCTATGAAGCCCATACCGTTTCTGCACTAATGAAGAGTAATTTCTTTAATAAAAATTTGATGTTACAGTCGTCAATATTACAGCATTATCACATCATAATTAAGCATCCGAATTTACGTTTTAAAAATATCTTAATCAATATATAATTATTAATATATGCGATATACAATATGAAATGAACTTACATGTATATCCCTTTCTTCAATAATAATTGAATTGTTATTGATTTCCAAAAATCCAACAATAATATGCGTACATAGAAAAGGATCTAAACGTTGAGGTTGAAGAGACTGGTTTATATGTGGTAGATTGTAATAACATACCAATTTTTGTTTAAGGGTGTCTACAAATAGATTTAAAATGTTAGACAATACTATTGTGTAAATTAAATTGTGTAACTTCAGTGTTTTACCTGTATCGTAATCATTTTTTAATGAATTGGTATTCATAAATGTTAAAAAGGCAATTATGAAACAAAGCAAAAATGCCGCCAATGTGTAGAACTCATATTTTTCTAATTTGAACCTGCAATCAACTTCTTCTATTACAACACAAATACATGTATATAAATAAGTAAACGATAGGTTTTAAAAATTATATATTTTGGCCGTTTCGACACTAAATATTTGTCATGTATATCTATATCGTATGTCTATATTTGTCACCAATATCTATATTGTAGTTCTAATAACACATGCAAAAAAGATGTACGATGTTGATGAGCAAGAAATGCAGTAGAAGAAAAGGTTTCATCCCCTTTGAAAGATAATGTATAAGAAATATCCCACTTTCTTTACATATCAAAAACAAACTAAAGTATGCTATGTACTTGAGCCACGTGAATATGTGAATATCAGACATCAACACATCAGAATATGTTGATGTCTGATCACCATACCCACGTTGTATTTAAGGAGTGAATACTTGTTGGAAAAAAAACTTACAAGCAATGGATACTTGTTATTAGATCACTCAAGGATTTAAAAAAAAAATGGAAGAGGATTATCAAAAAAATGGGAAAAGCTATAAAGAACATTTTAGTCCAACAGAACAACAAAAAATAGACAATTGAATGTTTGTTGGCCTCAAAATTCGAAATGTTTATCATATTTTTGTCATACCTTCGACACGTGCTACTATTTTACTTGCAACTACAGGGTCCGGCACTCGAAGTGTAACCAATTTCAAACAGCTCGCGTAGCTGATGCACGTGTACCAACTGTCAGTAAGTTAGCTAAATGATAGTTTAGTCTATTGTTTATAAGCGTACGAAAGTATTTAGTCGACAGTGAACGCGAAAAAAAGAAATCAGTAATGGATTTCAAACGTAACAGTGTGATTACATTATATTTAGCTGGAAAATCACAACCAGCGATAGTTCGAGGACTCAAACACCTTAAAGTGAATAAAATTTTTGCTTATCGCACCATAACTCGTTACAATGAAACCGGTAGTATCGCAAAACGTCATGGAGGTGGTCACCAAAAGACTGCAACGTCACATGAGATGGTCAAAAAAGTGAGAAAGCGACTCGAGCGAAATCCCCGACGAAGTGCCAATTAAATGGCAGAAGAACTTAACACATCTGATCGTAGCATCCGCCGCATACTGAAAAATGATCTCAAGGTCAAGCCTTATAAGATCCAAGAGGCACATGATGTTACGTCGAAGCAGCAGCAAGTGAGACTTCAGAGAGCTAAGGAGTTGCTTCGCCTGGCCGAGAGTGGTAAATTTCCGAACATTGTGTTTTCCGACGAGAAAATTTTCATAATTAAGCAATTCGCACACTCTCAAAACGATAGGGTTTACTTGACTGAACGTTCAGACAAGAATTTGAACCATCGACTGGCCACCAGGAGGCAACACCAGCCACGGATAATGGTTTGGGTCGCTGTAACCGCGGATGGGCGATCTCCAATCGTTTTCATCGAGCCTGGCGTCAAGGTAAATGTGCGATATCATCGGGAAAGTATTCTGAAGGTTGCTTTGAAGCCATGGGCAGATCAACATCTCGGTGGCAGACCATGGACGTTTCAACAGGACTCGGCACCGTATCATAAAGCTCGAGTGAACCAAGAATGGCTGAAAAACACCGTTCCGAACTTCAAAACGTCCGCAAAATGGCTCTCAAATTCACCACACGCGAATCCTATGGATCATTCTCTTTGGGCCATTTCGGAGAGCAAGGTCCGAACTAAGGGGTGCATCAGTCTCGAGGCGCTAAAAAAAGCCGTTGTCCGCCAGTGGGCCAAAATACCTGCAAATCACGTTCGGCCAAATGCGATTTGTTTTTGGACCGTCTAAAGGCCATAGTCAAAGCAAAAGGTGGTCATGTCGAGCAAAAGTGAATTGTTCTTAAATTTTGTATTATTTTTACACATTTTGTACTTTGAATCGAGTAAAATTGATTTTCCAAACTGAATTTATGGCTCTTTCAATTGGTTACACTTCGAGTGCCGGACCCTGTAGAATTGCATATATATTTTTAAATGACTAAACAATTTAAAGACTACAGAAAAATAGGTGGTGCATCGCACAACAAACGCTTCATATAATAAATGTTTCACACAACGTACTGCATCGTTACCATTTTTTGTAGTGAAAAATAAGTTGTCCGTACTCATAAAGTGACCATACGTCCCGGATTGGGCGGGACAGTCCCGATTTTCCGCCTTGCGTCCCTACTTTTTCTAAAAGCAATGTCCCGGATTTTTAAAAATATTTTGATTGCCAATATTTTTTTTAATATATTTTTACTAGAAAATTTGAACCAAAAAAATGTGCATATAAATTTTTAGCTCACCAACACCCCCCACCCCCGCTCTCTCACACAATATAATCCGTTTCATTTATTTCCGCATTTCATTAAATAAAATATGGTCACTTCTACTCAGCGGAAGTCCAATTAGACCCAATTAGAATTTAGGTGACCCACGTTGTATTTAAAGAGTGGATACTTGTTGGAGAAAAAACAACAATTACGTTATTAGATAATCACCCAAGTATTTTGAGAAAAGTTTGGAAGAGAATTATCATTTTGCATTTTGGGCAAATTGCATTCACAAATGTTCAGTATCCAAACATGGTTGAGGTAATAGAATAAAATATTTATACAATAATACGATTGCCCATCATATTCGGTATGTTTTATAAAAGATACAGAAACAAACAACTAACGACAATTTCTTTAAAAATGCAGGCGCTAAAAGAGCATAAAAGGCAGCAAGAAAAATGAGAAAAGTAATAAAAGACACTTTGCATTTTGGTCAAATTGCATTCACAAATGTTCAGTATCCAAACATGGATGAGGTAATAGAATGAAATATTTATACAATGATACGATTGCTCATCATCTTCGGTAGGTTTTAAAAAAGATACAGAAACAAACAACTAACGACAGTTTCTTTCAAAATGCAGGCGCTAAAAGAGCATAAAAGGCAGCAATAAAAAATGAGAAAAACATTAAAGGACATTTTGAATTTTGGTCAAATTGAATTCACAAATGTTCAGTATCCAAACATGGTTGAGGTAATAGAATGAAATATTTGTACAATGATACGCTTGCTCATTATCTTCGGCAGGTCTTAAAAAATATGCAGAAACAAACAACTAACGACAGTTTCTTTAAAAATGCAGGTGCTAAAAAAGCAAAAAAGAAGGTGCTGTGAAAGGCAGCAAGAAAAAATAAAAAAAGTAATAAAGACATTTTGCATTTTGGTCAAATTGAATTCACAAATGTTCAGTATCCAAACATGGTTGAGGTAATAGAATGAAATATTTGTACAATGATACGCTTGTTCATCATCTTCGGTAGGTCTTAAAAAAATGCAGATGCTAAAAGAGTATTAAATGGAGCAAGGCTACTCCTTTGAACATAAAGGATAATTAACGTATTTTGTTAATAAGTTATAAATATGCTTATTTTAAATGCCTGAATTTTGACCATATTTCATACTGTAACGAACAATTGTAATAACTCTTTTACTACGGAAGTCGCATCAGGTTGACGACCTGTGTGTACGGGTGTCGTTTAACCATGACATAAAATTTTCACTCTGAGTCAAATTATTGAAAATACTTATTTATTACTGCGGGTTTTAGTTCCTTAGAAATGTAATTCTTAATTTTTGAGTACATTTTTATTGATAACGATTGAAAAATCTTCAAATGCTTCAAATACTTGGGCGGCTTGATGGATCAAATAGCAGTGCCACTCTTGCGGAAAACTCTTTTGTGGCGAAAGAGTTAACATGTTAAGAGTTACTATGGACAAAAAAATTTTCATAACTAATTTTTAACTTAGAGAATTTACTTCTGGAACTAATTAAGCACGTTATACGAGACACCACAGTAATTTTAGGGATAATAAATTAAAATATTATAATAAAATAAATATAATTATGGACATTAAAATAACGGGTGGGCCATATGCAATTATTAAGATGGTAAATGGTGAAATAGCCCACGAGGTTTAATCAGTATTAAAAAGTTGTATGCGTTATTTTTATGTCATTATGGTTCGTCATTCTTTATATGCAGACATATGAATCATTACATACAAATGAATAACATATTTATAAAATTACGTCACTCCAGTGATACTTTAATTGACGTACGATGCACTGGAAGGAATTATTTTAAGATAAAGCATATACATAGTTTTAATTTTTGACTTGCATTAGTAATCAATCGAGTACGAGCTTCTTTTACAACTGAAATATTATAAAATAACTTGTTTTTATTTGTTTCAAGAATATATGAAATCTTTCATGAGCAAGTAATTACTTAAGTTCTCTAAAATATTGCATCAGTTAAGTGGGGTTGGTTAAAAGTGAGCAACAGACTGTTTTAGTCTTATGTTTCAGTTGAATTTCTGAGTGGCAACAATTTAAAGGTTTTTATATTGTTAATTGATATCAGTACAGAAAACAGTACATTATAAATATGAATGATTTAAAATCGAGAGTCTATTTTAATTTATGAATAGAATAGAGGTGATGTGAAGGTTTTGAATAAAAATTTAATTAACGGATAATGTCTAGATTAAATTATTCTCTTTATAACTTTATAACTATATATAGTTAACTAAGTGTACACTAATAAAACTTATCTAATAAGGAAGTGGCAATAAATTAAATTTGCATGGTTCGTTTTAATTTAAAGTAGGTGAGTAGTTTTAAATTTAATTATAAACAGAGTCTACAGAAAGCAACCAGAAATCAGATTTAAAATAGTTTAACAAAATTAAGATATTGTGTCCAACTACTCTGTAAAGCTATATTTACCAAATTTGTTATATTAAATTATTAAAAAGCAACCAGAAAAACAGCTGTAAACTAGTTTTAAATTAAGTCTAATTACTTTGCAAATTTAATAAATCCAGTTTTTTCATTAATAGTAAGCAACACTATAATAGTAACATTAGTATAAATATAGCATTTAAAATAAAAATAATGTGAGCGAAACTTAATAACATTAACTTTATATTTTTGTGCCTATTTTACAAAGATATATAATAAATAAATAAATGAAATAAATAAATAAAATATGATAATATTACCCCATGTCATAAAATCATCATTTCTTTCAATTTGCACTTGTTACCGAATGAACATCACTGAAACTAATGATAATGCCTTATTATCTAGGTATAATAAATTTATTTACTTAATCTATTTATTATTTAAACTTCACAAGGAGTTGTTTATTTTGAACACATTATTTTTGACGTTTGTACTAAATGTCACAATGACAGCTTTGAAGGATATCATTTTCAAGGCATAGATAAATAAGCATTTAGAGTTAAAAGAATGATTAAGTTGCGAACAACGCCCGATAGAGCGCTGCAGTCGCAAGCAAATAAACCAAACAAATTGAAAATGTCGATTAAGTTAATATTTTTTCTTTAATTAAAGCAATTATGATCTTAAACTAGGTGCGTGGCATTATATCAATTGTGTAGAACCTGGTTAAGTTACAAAAAGCTTATTGTGTGTCAAATTTAGTCACCATTCGCACAAAAGAACAGTAACACCAACATAGCAGTAAAACCACAACCAAAGTGTTATCCAAAAATTTGCACAAACGTCAAACTGTCAACTGTCAACTGTCAACTGTCAAAGGGGGCTGCTAAATGTCAAGCAGATGTGATTATTGATCGTCTGCATTGCGGAGAAATTTTTAAAATAGATTTTACAGAAGACTATTTTGATTTTATAATAAGTCAAAATGGCTGGAATGGTAAACAAATTTCATTTTGAATAAATTAAATTTAACCAAATAGATAAAATTAAATGATTAGCTACCAGTTACCCACATTTAAATATTGTTTACTTATTCGAATATTTACAAACATATATTTTTTTATTTCAGCGTATGAAAGTATCTCGTTGCCCTACTGATGAATTATCACTTACAAATTGTGCAATTGTAAACAATTCAGACCTGAGCGATGATATCAAGTATGCAAATAATTACTTGATATTTCTTATTATACATATATTTTACTTTCGTGTTTTGTTTTAGACACATTGAAGTAACTACAGGGCCATCTCAGCACTTTATATTTACTGTTGGTAAACATCATGAAGTCCCCAGGGGAACAGTTGGGTTTTCTCTTCCTCAAAGAAAGTGGGCTGCTCTTTCGTTGAATCAAGAAATAGATGTCAAGCCATATCGATTTGGAAACAATAGCTCAGATTGTTTGTGTAATATCATGTTAGAAGCCGATTTTTTGCAGAAAAAGACGTAAGAAATATATTAACTCTGTATACTGATGATTTAAGCTGTTGAAACAGATATTTTTCTAGTGTTTTTATAACAATAATAACATTCAAGATATGTTATTCCTTTAAATTTAATTTATAAGTTTTTATTTTAATTTATTGTAACATATAAATTTCATTTATTGGAAAAATAGTTTTGCATTTGTCTTCTTGTCTTCTTGTGCATTTTTTTATGTTTTTTAACTTTTTTTTTATAATATCTACGTTTTTAACTTTTATTTTAATACCCTATAAATGAAAAAATGTATAATAATTAGTTTATCATTCTAGTACTTTATTTTTTTATCCTATAGAAAATAAATTCTTATTTTATAGGACTACTTTAGAACCTTATGATACTGATCAAATGGCCAGACACTTCCTTCAACAGTTTTCTGGTCAAGCATTTACAGTTGGCCAACAACTTGCATTTGCTTTTCAAGATAAGAAATTACTTGGATTGGTTGTGAAAGATCTGGAAGGTACATTAACTGTTTTATTCTTATTTACTTGGAATTTATGGCTATTTGTTTTTATATAAATTTCAGCTGTTGATGTTGGTGCAATCAAGGAAGGCGTGGATGCAAAACCACGTAAGACTAAGATGGGTCGATGCTTACCAGATACTGTCATTCAATTTGAAAAAGCAGAAAATTCTTCCCTCAATCTTGTTGGAAAATCTAAAGGGTCATTTATCTCTTTTGTAGATTATGATATTGATATAAATTGCTTAAATTCAACTCTCATATTTTAATTTTTAGAGTACAGCCCAGACAATCTATAATCAATCCAAATTGGGACTTTGGTAAAATGGGCATTGGTGGTTTGGACAAAGAATTCAATGCAATATTCAGGAGAGCATTTGCTTCAAGAGTTTTTCCACCAGAAATAGTTGAACAGCTAGGTTGGATATTTATTGAAAAAGAAATATCTATGAATGTCTTGATACAATGCACTCCAATAATAATCTATTCTAATCATATTTAGGTTGCAAACATGTTAAAGGAATTTTATTATATGGACCACCTGGTACTGGTAAGACATTGATGGCTCGTCAGATTGGTACTATGTTAAATGCAAGAGAACCAAAAATTGTTAATGGCCCACAAATTTTGGATAAATATGTTGGAGAATCTGAAGCTAATATCAGAAGATTATTTGCTGATGCAGAGGAGGAAGAAAAGAGGGTATTTTAATACACAATAATTAATATGTAAAAGTTTGTTACAGACTTATTTTTTATTGGTATTTGTTTAAAAAAATTTAATAGATTATAAAACCTTTATTTCATCTCTCTTTTTAATATTTTCTTTTTTGATTTATTTTTCAAATATAGTTTAGTTTTATCAAGTTTTATAAATTAGTTTACATTGCTCTATGAAAAGTTTATGACTTATTTCTTTTTCTGACAGTGTGGACCCAACAGTGGCTTACATATTATAATATTTGATGAAATAGATGCCATATGCAAATCACGTGGATCTGTTGCTGGAAATACAGGCGTTCACGATACTGTTGTAAATCAATTGCTGGCTAAAATTGATGGTATATAAACATATTAATTCTTATAAGTTCCTCAATTTTCAAAATTTATTGATATTATTTCACAGGTGTGGAGCAGCTGAATAATATTCTTGTAATAGGAATGACAAATCGCAGAGATATGATTGATGAAGCTTTGTTGCGTCCTGGTCGTTTAGAAGTTCAGATGGAAATAGGCCTCCCAAATGAGGCAGGACGTCACCAGATTTTAAATATACACACAAAAAGAATGAGAGAATTTAATAAAATCAATCCAGATGTCGATAATAAAGAACTTGCAGCATTGACAAAGAATTTTTCTGGTGCTGAATTAGAAGGTTTAGTACGTGCTGCGCAAAGTACTGCAATGAATAGATTGATTAAAGCTGCATCCAAAGTTGAAGTTGATCCAGAAGCAATGGAGAAATTATTAGTAAATCGTTCTGATTTCTTGCATGCTTTGGAAAATGATATCAAACCTGCATTTGGAACTTCAGCTGAAGCTTTAGAACATTTCCTTTCACGTGGTATTATCAATTGGGGCACTCCAGTGTCCAATCTTTTAGAAGATGGTTCCTTATTTATTCAACAAGCCAAAGCACCAGATGCCTCTGGACTTGTTTCTGTTTTATTAGAAGGTCCACCAAACTCTGGAAAAACAGCCCTAGCGGCTCAATTAGCTAAATTATCAGATTTTCCATTTGTTAAAGTAATATCACCAGAAGAAATGGTTGGGTTTACTGAGTCAGCAAAATGTATGTACATAAGAAAAATATTTGATGATGCTTACAGATCTACATTGAGTTGCATACTGGTAGATAATATTGAACGATTGTTAGATTATGGGTCTATTGGACCCAGATATTCTAATCTCACATTGCAAGCATTATTGGTTCTGCTCAAGAAGCAGCCTCCAAAGGGGAGGAAGCTACTTATATTCTGCACTACCAGCAGACGGTAAGTATTCATTTTTCGGTAATTTAGTGGTGATATTATTGAGAGTTTTCTACTCTAAAGGTTTTGCATAATAAATACAACATGAAATAATTGTGCAAACTTCTGTTTGAATTCAAATTGAAATTGTTTATTGTAACTATTTTCAATTTGAATAATGCTTTACGTTTCTGTAATATTTGCTAATATATTTTTAGTCAAGTTTTGGAAGATATGGAAATGCTATCAGCGTTTACAGCAGTATTGCATGTTCACAACTTATCATCACCTGAACATATTATGGCTGTATTGGAGGATTCAGATATATTTTCTAAAAAGCAGCTTGCTAGTATAAATAGCAAAATATCAGGTCACAGGTAAAGATTACTTCATATTCAAGTAAATAATAAATAAAATAGATTAGAGATTTAAATCTAAATACATATATGCACAATTTTATAAACAAATTTTAGAAGGATATAGTTAATAATAATAATGGAAAACACAAGATATTTTGTAAAAGCAAAGCACTATAGTCGATTCTCATAACATGTATTACATCAATATTATTATTATGATTTCCAAATTGATGTTACACACAAATTTAATTTATTAGATTAGATTAGATTCATATAGCTATACTTTCTTTTTTTTAAATGCACTTTAGGTAAGATGCTCATCTTACTATAAAGATTGATATTTATAAGTTTCATTTGATATATTCATAATATAATTCAACAAATAACAACACTTGTTTACATGAAAGCATTAAATTTGTTGTACATTTACTTTTGTTTCAGAATATTTATTGGAATTAAAAAACTTTTGGCTTTAATTGATATGACGAGACAAATAGAAGACAATTTCAGAGTTATGAAATTTTTGACTAAATTAGAGGAAGATGGTGGTTTAGACTGCGGAACATCAGTACAATGAATTTGATTTACTACTAACAAAGAACTACAATGTTGGAATATAGGTATTTATGTTTGTTTATATTTTTACTTATTTTGTTTTGAGGTTCTTATTAAATAATGCTATTAGACATGGACAGTGTTTTGTACATGTCAAGAATATTTTTGACTTATTTATTTTTAGATTTGAATAGTTAGAACTTGTACAAATGATTTTATTTAGTGTTTTTGATAAAAGTACCTGTTGAGTCTCTGGAATGGGAACGATTGTCAATATTAGTTGTTCATTTAGTCAAATTTTTATTATTACTTTTTAAAATTCTTAACAAAATTAATTGACAATGGTTAATAATAATGAGAATAGAATTAACATTTGTTGAAGGTATGCAGAATATTCTTTTATGTCAATTTAAATTGAGATAGTAATGCTATATATAAACTGGTAGTGCTTTTTGATATGAATTCTTCTGATTAATGTGAGTTCAATCAATAATTTGCAAGTATGAATAGGAGAGTTAATATGTGTATTATGTGATTTAAGGTTTTATGTACGCAGGAAAAATTGTTACTTAAAAAATGCTATTCGTACTATATGAATTATGAAATGCTTAATAGCAAATACACATTCCTTGTACATTGTTAATATTCCAAGTGTAATTTATATGGGTACAATTAATTTTTGTACAAATGCATTCTATATATTAAATTTAAAATATAGCAATTAATGCCAACAATGAATAAAAATGGTTACTATAACGAATGTTATTAAATTTTAATAATAAATTAATTGAAATGTTACTGTTACACATTTCTTATTAAGTTAAATCAGAATTATGTAGACATTATCATAGGTTTTAATTTCAAATTACTGTTAAATTATAAGCATTCACTATGACGGTTATTAAATTATAAAGGGTTAATATATAAAATATTTATTCATTTTTTATAAGGTTTAATGTTTTCGTTCGCGATTCAATAAACGAGTGAGCAATATTTGTGTATAAACATCATTTGAGACTTGTTAAATGATAAGATGTAGTTACCTGAATATATGTCAATATAAATATAAATATAAGCAAATTGTTGGTGAGATAATTTGTGGTGCAATTGATTTCAAATCATCGGAAATACAACATTTAATGTTGATTTTTGATGAGGCAATTCTATGCATTTTAACTATAATTATTATGTTCTACTCTTAATGGCTCTAGATAACATCTATGTATGGATTTTACTCGAATTGGTTTCATACTAATTTGATTCTAATCTAATTGGATTGTTTACTACATTGTGATTTTTTGTGTTTGTTTAATATTTGGGATGAATTTAGTTAATATTCTAATAATAAATGTTATTATTTTAGCTATAACTTCTGATATTTAAAAGTGATTTTTTTAACGCGTTAAAATTAACGTTAATGTTGTTGTCGTTTTATGAAGTGCATTTTAGATCTATTATGGAAAAAAATGTAATGCTAAGCATCAGTTCTGTTGTATTAATATATATTAGATAGTATAGTACACATACGGGTAGATTGTCTTTAATTTATTTTCCAATTTTTTATTTGATATTTTATAATCTTAATTTTTTCGTAGATCTCTTTGGTTTTACTATTCTGGTTTATTATCATAGCTCTTTGTCTATTGTAATATAAAAATAAGAATTGTTAATAGTTGATAGTCTTGTGAATTTATGAATCTAATTACGCTAATTAGAAATCAGTAGTCATTTTCGTTTTTACAATATTTTGAAATCGATTCTCTGTGTAAATTAAAATCATATATGTAAAATTGATTTAAAATAAAATATAAGTGAAGAAAACTTTAAAACTAATATTATTTATGAATAATTAAAAAAGCATTTGATATATTAGTTTCCAATAAATTAATTTTACGGGTCCGTAGAATTACCGATCGTTTTATCGTTCTAGTTTTCGATACGTCCTAAGAACCGTTTTCTTTTTAGTTATGTACATTTTTCATATAGTGATATAATATGACGACTATAAAAATAATAAATAAAAAAAAGCTTGATCTTTTAAAGCTAACAAAGTAAAACTCATTATAATGAGTATAACTGTAACTATAGTTACTCAACATTTTTGGTGACTTCTAATTTGACGAATATAATGGTCCGAAATTATAAACTTAATGAGCATAATGGCGATATAGACTTCTATTATTGAGGGTTTCTTCATCTTAGGCTTGTGAGGTCTTACAATTGACCACAGAACTTGATCTGGAGCTTATAAGAGGATTTAGAATTTGGCACAATGTTTGCCAACTATAATTATAGAGTTCTGGGATGGAAACTCCGGAGTTAAATAGTGGTTTAGTCTATTAGACTTCCCTAAATAGTTGAACAAAATAATCTTACAATTCATTGCTTAAATAAATTTTTCATGAGATTGTTAAATTCTCAAGGAGAATGGTTTCGCCAGGAACTTCGATTTGCCAATTCTATTACTGCTTGATTTTTCAAGTCATTCTGAATTGTTAGACGTGAAAATTGAAAACAACATATATGTGTTTGTGAGCGGCAATTTGACTTTTATTTGAATTTGATTAAAAGCTACTTGATGAAACTCGATAAGGACTAACGTTGTTTAATTTTGAGGTACGATTGATCCAGACGTTTCTTTATAATGAGTAAATATATAAATTCTAAACCGAATTTGAAAATTTGTAGACTTTTCGAAGAACTGTTGAGAACTTTGCTGATTAGTTTTTTGAGAAATAGGCCGGGCCGTTTTTTCGCAATTAAATTTTTTTTTTTCGACAATTTTAATAGAACTTTGCTAGTGAAAAGGTCTAAAAGTAGGCGTAGGAAAAGTGGTTTAATTATAAAAAATCATTAAATTTTCGAATATTGGGTCTGACTCTTAAGTTCATGCAGTTGAATAAGCGAGTGCTTACGAAAGCACATTATTATAAAACATAAATATTTACACATATCGGAAAGTTTATCCAACTTGCCTTCAGGGAATATTTAACTTACACCTAGTTCTTATTCAATTTGTTATATCCATATATCTGTTTCTGTGTCAAAAATAATGTATAAACTAGTGGTGCTTGGCATCGTGCCTTAAGGCAAATTGCCGGAACTTCCCGTACCAAAAACAAAATTATTAAAACAAACTTTGCAAAACTTTTAAAAAATTAAGTTTTTGAGAAATTATTAAAAAGTTTGAACATTTTTTAAGCAATCGCGCTGCATAGCTGATTTGGGGTCGAAATATGAAAGCGCGTAAGCACCGCGTAGTCGTCTAACGTGTAAACATTGGTACGGAACCCATATAAATGTACACAAAATTTGTACTTATTATTACAATCTTTATAAAATATCTGATAATACGATGTACATATGTCTAATGTTCATTTTTGACCGCCAAATGGCATTATTTTTCACTTTTTTATAGGTACTCCGGAGACACTAGATCTGCCTTTACACAAATTTTACCAGTTGTTAATTTCAATGTCAATACAAGTAAAATGTTTTTTAAATTATTCAAATCGGACGCTCTGTTATCACAAAAACTGAAATACAATTTTTGGCACTTTTGGTCCCGTATCTTCGAAACGGCTAGACCTGCCTTTGCCAAAAACTAATCAGCACGTCTCTTTATAGTAGGAAGGAATGAAATGTTTTTTGAATTATTCAAAGCGGTTGATCCGTGTTCGCGAAATCGTCGACGAAAATTAGTATCCGCACACACACATCAATTTTTTCTAAGGTATGCCAAAATGTACAGAATCTTCTGAAACGGAAAGATATATAAAATTTTTCGTTTTCGATTTTTTTGCGATTACTATAACTTGCCCTACTGGAAGTTAATAGATACTATGACGATAATATGTATTTGGTGGAATTAAATATTATAGAAAATCATTATATATTTTTCTAAAATATTTGGATGGCATATGCGCTAGAAAAAAACGAAACCATATAAACACACAACTAGTTGGGCATTAATTCTTGGTACAGCATGCCAAGTTAAGTTAATAAATAACAATGAATATATATTAATATTACGGTTGCATTCTACTCAAGAAGCATTAATAGTTTTTGGGGATGATTGCTCTACTTGATGTGCCCGTTGACCAACATTGCAAATTACGGCGCGAACCATTAACTCATCTTTTCCTGCGGACGAATTTTCTTACATCATTAAGCAATCTCTGTCACGTATATATAATACAGGGCTGCATTTGATGTTACCTATTTAATTTATTACTATTTACCTATTTTCAGGTATGTTCATAATATTAGTAAATAGAATTAACAATATAATTGTTTTTAAAACAATTCGTGTAGGAAAAAAATACAATATTTTCGAATTTTGAAGCGTAGTAATTTGTGAGCCACAATGGTTCTTAAAATTTTACGTCGATGTAAGGTTTATCGTGGCTTAGTGGTAATCTTGCAATTATAGGATTCCAGGTTTAATACCCAACACTCTGATATCATGCAGAAGCAATATCAATTTTCAATAATTCAATATAGATCTAAAATATGTTTTCAAGTAAAATGACCCTTCCTCGGCATTGCTGCATCAAATCGAAAAATTGTAATGATAGCGAATAGGTCAACCGTTGGATTAACTTCTACTGCTGTTAAAAAATAAAAAAAAATTTACTGATATAAAAAATTTAAAAGGCATTTCATTAAAATAAATAAGAAGTCGGGTCGATTACGTTTGCAATCTTGAACCGATTTTGAAATTTTTAATACTTAAACACATTTTGAGAAATTCAGAACTTTGAAAATCGTGCTGATCAGTTTTCAATAACAATGGGCCGATGGCCGTTTCATCGTTAAGTATTGATTTTTTTTTGACGATTTCAATTTTCATTTGCATGGTGGCATAATCGAGCAATAAGTTTAAAGTATTATAAGCCTAATAGTGGTTTAATTATAAAAATCATTCAAATTTGAAATTTTATAGGTTGCGCTCTTAGGACACTGTGTATTGTGTGTATGTACATAACGCGTGTTGGTGTAACAATTATACTTGCTTTTTGTTAAATTAAAAACTTCTCTAATAAAGTTGTTAATGTTAATTTTTAATGATTCAGTTGATGTAAACATGTCGGAAAGTTTATGCAAATTGACTTAAGAAAACATGCTAGCTTTAAAAATAAT